TGAAAAATTGTTACACCAGGGTTTTCGATATCATAAACTAGTCAAAACATTTACTAAATTTTATCATCGGTATAAGGACATCATTCGTAAATATAACTCAACATGCAGACATCTTATACGTTCGGGTATTTCACATCCAATCTTTTATGGTAATATTCTTTACAAAGCACAAAAATGTCAGTATTCACCTCAAAAGCTAACTAAACCTTTAAACAGACTTATTAAGAAGGGATATAGTTACGATACTGTTGTCAGGTCATTAAAGATTGCATATTTTGGCTTTGATATTGATTCACTTATAGGGTCTTTGCATCGGAATTAACACATTTATTCTAAAGCCAGTTGTTGGCATGACACGGGTTATGTTCTTCTCATATATTTTATGACGGTATAATACTAAACCCCTAACAGGAGGGATTGTGCCTGATATTCATATGATGAAGACATAATCTTTCAATCAGTTTAATTGAGGTCTGGAGCTGGCATGTCAGTAACTGCTAGTAGTCTGTTGTTATTTATGTATTATTGTCATTTTGTTTATTTTCTTTTGTTTCCTATCTGACATCAGACTCAGACTTCACTTATACTGAGTTTTACTGTGCGTACTGTTGTGCGTTTGTTTTTTCTACATTGGCTAGAGGTATAGGGGGAGGGTTGAGATCTCAAAAAACATTTTTGCGCCTGTCCGAGTCAGGAGCCTCTGGTCTTTGTTAGTCTTGTATCTTTTTTAATTTTAGTTTCCTGTGTATAATTTGGAGTTTAGTATGACGTCCATTATCACTGAACTAGTATACTTATTTGTTTAGGGGCCAGCTGAAGGATGCCTCCGGGTGCTGGAGTTTCTCGCTGCATTGAAGACCCATTGGTGGCCTTCAGCTGTTGTCTGCTCTATGGTCGGGTTGTTGTCTCTTTGACACATTCCCCATTTCCATTCTCAATTTTATTAAAGGTTAAATACTATTAAAAAATTAAAAAAGATAAAGTTTCATTTTTGCATGTATATGTGTCTCTGTACTAAGCCTGAAACTGTCCTTAAAAGATGATAAAAACAACAGAAATATGGCAAAAAATTATAAATAAACAAGTTCAAATCATTTAGCTTTGAGCCAATACATCAATTTTCCGTTAGTTCAATCATTGATGACATAATTGATTGCTAGCATCATTTAGCATATAAAGAGAGATAATTGATCATTATAAATAATTGTTACAATGCGTGCTCTTTCTTCATGTTAATATATATATGCCAGTTAGGGAATTTGATGTTGATGACAAATATTTGGTCATCTTCATTAAATTATTCATTTTTGTCTAGACTTCGGACATTCTAAAGCTTTCAATACTAGCTAGTTCATGTTGATGACCGTACTAATAGTGATTTTCCTATGTCTTTTATTAACATTATACAGTCAAACCAGTATATAAAGGTCACATTCATGACCAGGACCAGACTTTGAATTGAGGTTCAAAATGCATCTAGGTATTACTACAACAGACAAGAAAAGGCTGACTTGACAAGATGGGGTTTCGTTATCTAGAGGTGACCTTTATAGCAGGTTTGCTGTACCTGTATTATTGAATTGCTGCCTCATTGACATGTACCCACATCTTAGCCAATATGAATTTGACATTGATTTGTGTACAAGTTTATTTCAAATTGTGAAGAATGAGGCTGACATTGGATATTACCCTTGAAATAGCAAAAGTGAAATAAATGAATTTCTTTTACTTAGGACAAACAAAACAATATGTGTCTTTTCTTTTTCCTGAAAAATGTGGTACTGTAAATTCAGAAATTATTGCGTGCATTTATTATTGCGATTTTGTCATTTAGGACTAAAAAATTTCAAAATGCAATTTTAAATTATTGCGATTATAATCCTGTCGCATTTTTCGCAATAATAAAAACATCGCAATAATTTCTGAATTTACAGTAAATAGGTCAGATTTCTGTTTTGTTTTGCTCAATTTTATTATGCCCCCGCCGCGGCAGAGGGGGCATTAAGTGTTGCCCTTGTCCGTCCGTAAGTACGTCCCAATATTAGATTCTGTTCTCTTACTTTAGTTTGCCTCAACAAAACGTTATGAAACTTGTACACAATGCTTATTATCTCAAAACACAGATCAAATATGAATTTTGGTAGCGTCACATTTACTGTTCTAGAATTGTGCCCCAATTATATATGGAAAAATTGCTGAATTTTTGGTTTCCGTTCTCTAACTTTAGTTTGCCTCAACCAAATGTTATAAAACTTAAACAGAATGCTTATGACCATAAAACACACATCAAGTTCGAATTTGGGTGGCGTCACTTTTACAGTTCTCTAGTTATATCCCTTTATAATGTTATATGCCAGCAGGCGGATCATCTGTGTCACATGAACACATTCTCCATTTATGTTTTCTTGAGTATGTGGAGATATCTTAAATTTGTTGATGATTCAATGCCAAAAGACTAAATAAAAACTTAAGGATAGGTATTTTGAGGCATAAAAACTTGAATAGGTAAAACAAATCCATTAACATTTATAAATTTTAATTTGGCCTCAGTAAACTAGATGATTGATATTGAAATATGCTGTTTCACTGATGTCATAAATTAAAGATATTTGATTCTGTTAAAAAAACATTTACATGTTTTGTCTGCCTGCAGCACATGTTTCTGGAGTAGCCTTTATCATGTACACAGACCAAACGTTTTAGAGCCAAATTATAAAGCAATGGAGAGCACAAAAACCTATATTGCCTTATTAATAACAGAACAGCGGAAACCATTTAATGTTAAATCTTAAGTAAAAACCAAATATTTAATACAATCTTTTAATTTCAGTGTCAGAAAATTTCCTTGAAATCCATCACACTTTTGAAGTCATTTTACGAAAATCTGTGACTATTCTTTTATTAAGTAGTTTATAATTTTTACCTGTGGAACAGTCATGACAGTTCTTCAATAAATTTGAGGCATTTTGCTTATTGGTTGATTTAATTATAGAACAAAGCTAAATATGCAGTTAAACGTAATGTTCAAGCAAGTAAATACGGCAAATACAGGCTGCTTTAGATCTTTGAGTTTACATCATATAGATTAACTATGTCATTTTCTTGGTCTTATTAATGTTCAGAAAAATCAATTTAGAAAAGATACTGCAGAATGTATATAAATGTATGCTGAAGCCTACTGAAATATAAATTTTTCTTAAAAGCCTTTATTTGATATGAAATTAAAAGGTAGAATGAGTTTTAGAGTATAATAGTCAATAGTATGTATCTGTAATGGTTTTTAATAGATTCAGGTGCTCAGAACAGGTATTGTGGTTGAATATTATAATCCAATAAAAACTTATTATTCATATTTTCAAGGTTTTGATTTTAAATTTAAGATAATTAAAAGAAAGTTAGATTTTCTGTTTATGCACATTGTTTGCTAGTCATGTTTTACCCTCCTGAAAGCAAGGAACACCCTTAAATAATCTGCAAGTAATACATATTTTTATTCCTTGTAAAATCAGTAATGCAGCTGTGAAAAGAGATTTTACATTTTTTTCTATACTGAATTATTTGTAGATTTGTAGAAGTTACATTCAATAATTCCTTAGTAATTCCAAATCAAAGCGAAAAAAAAAAAAAAAATAAAAGTCAAAAGAGTCCACAATCAAGACTATGTCACATTCAAAATAAAAGGTCATTTTCATCTTTATTATGGACTTTTTTGGTCTCAGATTTGCCACTGACATCAGCTATATGAATTTTAGCATGTTTGAATTAAAATGCTTGTCCACAAGCAGTGAATAATAAATATAAATGTCAACAAAAGCTTATATCTTGTACTAATCTCTTCATTGTTCAAATTAATGAACTAATTTTATTGAATCCTATTTTATTTAGAAAAATAACTGAAATTGAGTGGATAGTAGCCTTAAGCCTGTATATACATCCTCTCCAAAATAGTCTGCACTAAGTTTATGCCAAAATATAAAATTTGTTTACTAATTTCATGCAACAAGTCGATTATATTTTACTATCGCAAAGAGTTGCTTTAAATATAAATAAGAAGATGTGGTATGAGTGCCAATGAGACAACTCTCCATCCAAGTCACAATGTGTGAAGAGTAAACAATTATAGGTCAAAATACGGCCTTCAACACAGAGCCTTGGCTCACACCGAACAGCAAGCTATAAAGTACATATAATGTACAAGGTACTAAAACAAAATCTACGGTATAGTTAACTAAAGCAGCAACTTTTGATCAAGAGAAAATACTAAATGTACTGACCAGTTTCAAGAAAACTAGTTTCTGTTGATTCATTATTATTCTAGGGATACTAATTTTCATGGAATTTGTGGGTGTAGGTAAACCACAAATTTGAATATTCAACAAAGTACACATTTGCAATAGACTTGTATGCAGACTTTGGCGCAACCGAGAAATCATGTATCCACAAAAATACAATTTCTCCTCAACCCACGATTACTGGTATCCACGAAAATACATGAATCCACAGTATTTCTAATAAATGTTATGCCTTTGGTTAAGAAAAAGAACATTTTATCATTTACTTAGTCTTACTGAAGCTGTTGCTTAAAGCAAAATGTGATATATATACTGAGTGACAATGTAAAAGCTACACCAATATGTTTTTTTATTGAATAATTATTAAAACCATCCTATCCCACTCAAACCAGTGCTAGGGTCCACACTTGCAGTGATGTGAGAGTCTGTTTTGTTTCATGTTGAAGGCCTCACTGTGACTTCAAGATTAAGAACAGCAATATAAGCACTGTTCCTTTGCTTTTTGTGTGTTTTTTGATGTGCATGTGCTGATTTTTTGGATGGATACCCCATATCCTTTGTTTTTCTATGTATAGGAAAGATCTGTGAAAAAAGAATCAGCAGTGAGCTCAATGTCTAGGAACCTGGGGCTACCAGACTCCTTTAAATATTTTTCCTTTGCAATGCCTTAGATTTACATTTACATGTAATATAATTGTTTTTTTGTAGGAAGGTAAATTAAAAGATACTTGTATGATTGGTCAGTCTGATATTCCTGTGGAAGATAAGACAGTGACGGTAGCATATGGATCAGAGATGACTGGTATTTCATTTATCAACTTTGTATGTTCATCGAGAGATACTGCAAAGGTAAAATTAGAGTTTTAAGATATTACAATCTCAATTTCATGCTAGGTTTACTACAAAGTGAGTTTCAAATTTGACTGTTTCCAGGGTCAAACCTGTTTATTATGCTAATCTTTCTAGTCTGTAATTTCAGTAAAATAATAAAGGGGACATAATTTCGCAATTGTATCTTAATATTTGAATTAGAAAAATTAGACTCCTCAAAGTTACCCATTATACAGAAATTTCAGCATTACTTGAAAATGTGACTCTCATGTAATGATATGATTGTCAGATTCTAAGATGGAACAACTTTCGCATGGAATGATATGATTGTCAGATTCTAACATGGAGATCACTCTCCCTGTCTCATATCAGATTGTCAGATTCATTCTCTAGTGTTATAATATTGAGTATTTGTACTGGCGAAAAATTAATAGTTTTTATCAGCCAGCATGTACATGTACTTATAAAAGTGAAGCTGAAGACATTGGACATTTATCTTTCTTCATTCTGATGGCCAAATTAATTTCAGTAGAAGGAAAACCTTTACATTGTTTTTATTTGTTTTATTGTTGTGTCTTCATTTTGTGTAGTTTCTTTTCTTTAGCATTTTAGGTAAAATTTGAATTTTTCATGTTTTTCTAGCTCTGGTGTGATGAACTGTTATTATATGCCTATAACCTGTTAGCAGCTAATGGGAATGTGTTAACATTTCTGGAAAAGGCTCACACTAAAATTACTCATGTACTGGATGTTAATGGCAGGATACCAGTTAAAAAGTAAGTACATGTTAATATTACATAAATTTAAATGATGTATCATGCAATAACAAATGCTCAATTACACTTAGGTATTTCATCGCCTTGAGTTGTCTTTTTCATCATGACTCAAATTAACACTAGTAAGATTCCTTTAAGGATGTAAATTATAGCGTTAACAGTTGAAAATATGATTGATTGCTGGAGTTCAAACTCACCACTTTAGATTTGACAGGCTAGTGATCTGTGTTGATGAACTACTTCCTCTCAGCCACCAAGGCCCTCTGTTAGTTAAGGGCATGAAATATGTATGTGTTATTTTAAATGTTTATTAAAATAACTTGTATATTTGTTCAGAAAATGTATTGGCAGCATTTGATATCTCCATTAGTTTCTTATATTGTGACATCACTAATTGAGACTTTTTTCTGAATGTGTACTTGCCATGAGTAACATGCCAGGTGCCACAAGTGAAGCAAGGTCTACTTTACCCTTTCTTGAGCAACTGGGATCATCCCTGATCTTTTGTTGGTTCCTGTTTCTGAGTGTACTTTTCTATGCATTATTGTTTGGACATTTGTTTGTCTTCATAGTTTGTCTTTTTTGTTGGATTTTCTTGGACTTATGAAGTTTTATTTTCTCTTTAGTATCTTCTGCATAATAAGAAAATTTGTCTCTTTGCATCCTCTTTGCTTCCTGCTTTCAATCCAGAGAAATAAAAAAAAATCTATTTTATTTTCAGCATTGTGAAAATGTTTGCCACTCACAGAGATGACAAGAAAAGAGTAGAAAAGGCTTTAGAATCCATTAATATACAGACAGGCAAGGTATGGGTAGTCACATGATTTCAGTAGATCACATGATAAAAAAGTTATTTATAGATGTTTAAAGTAGGAAAGAGATTTAGAAAATTGCAACTTAAAAAAGTGCTACTATAAATTGACAATTATGTCCATAATAGCTTTTGTCTTTAACATAGTATGGCTTTAAATATTGACATTTACATGTGTAGAATAGTTCATCACGTACTTAGACTAGTTATTATTCTTTATTTATATATTTATTTGCACCTGTTTATAATGTTTCCAGAAACAACTAATTTGGAGTATAGTATAGTTTATAGCAAAAAGCATGTAATTAGTTAATGTATTTTGGTTGATGTTTAGTTGAAAATTTTATTTAAATTAGGTACATCAATAAATTTTTATAGAATCTGAAGTCTATCCATTTCATTGCCATTTTCACCAGTTGAACAGGCTCTCTAAAAAAATGGAGGTTTTAGCTTTTACAAATTATGAATACTTTGAATTTACAGGCTAAGCAGCTGTATTTTACACCGTAACCATGGTAGCAATTGTCATATATCCTAATATTTTCAGAAAGATTTTTGTGGGCAATAATTTTTGTATTTACAGTATTTTGAGTCGTCTCTGTCTCCGAAAAAAAATAAATGAAGTAAATGTTGAGTATTGTAAATTCAGAGATTATTGTGGGTTTTTTATTAATGTGAATAATGGGACTGTATGAGAATGACAATAATAAGAACTTGCATTATGATTTTTGATACATATATATGTACGCAGATTTTTATGAAATCGCAATAATTAATCTTCTATTATAGTCCATTCTTCAAAAATCGCAATAATTTCTAATTCAACAGTATTTGTAACATCTGCTACACATAAGATCTGCCAAATATTTATTTGGCCAAAATGAAATTAGCAAATCTGTTTTGGTTCTGATATTGTTTTAAGGTGATTTTTAGTTGAACAGATTTGAGAGAGAAAAAAAATATTACTTTTTCTAAACCGACTCAAGAATCTTAATGATTTATGATTGTTTGTCCATGTCCATATTATATTTTTTGCTTTCCTAACTTTTTCAATCAGGCATACCTGATGATGATTACTCAACAATCGTTATGTGAACATCCGCAACTTCCTGATGTAGTATAGGTCAAGTAGGGTCATGCACCTAAGCTGTGCAGTATAATTAACATTTAATGACTTGATTGTCCAATAAATATTACATATATAATTTGTAGGTCAAATTTTTTTAAATTTTTATTTTTCGATAATGTTTGTACCAATATTTCTACAGTATTAAACGATTATTTCTACAATAATCTTTCATATCATGCTGGCACGACATATATCTGTGTCCACAGTTTATTCCAATAATGTCTTAAGCAGATTTGTATGAACCTAAGTTTTTTGTTTTGAGATAATATTGACCTTGAAGTACTTCCAGTCAATGAATTCAGATATATGCATTTGTTTAAAACAGTACAGGTAAATTAAATAAATAATCACTATTTATATAGCTTTCAAAAGTGCATTTGGGTTGAACAATATGTAGTTTATACAATTTTCAAGAGTATTTGAAATGTCAGAGTAGCATTACTGGATATAGATAAAATGATATATAACACCTGGTATATCACTATAATAGTACTTTTCAACATGGCATCAAGATTTCTGATGGTATCATATACTGTGGATATTCATTATTGTTCATGGGATACCAATTTTTGTGGATTTCGTGGGTATAGGTAAATCATGCATTTAAATGTTCAACAAAGCACACATTTTCTATAGATTTGTATGCATACTGTTTCAAAACCATGAAATCAAATATCCTCAAAAATACATGAATCCACAGTATGATAGAAATATTTTTGGTTAGAACTTCTCTATTTTATAATAAGCATACATGTGAAAAACTTTTTATTTCTGAACATGTGATTTTTAGATTTTCTCTCTCTTACTTTATTTAAAAACTTTATTTCAGAACATGTGATTTTTGGATTTTCTAACTCTTACTTTGTTAAGAAATATATATCTAACATTTGATTGATTTCTGTTTGTTCTGAAATAATAATTTTTAAAACTAACTATATTTGATTCAAAGGAATTTCTGTGATAAAGTGTTGATATTTTCCTTATGATGAAAGACTTAAACCTAGAAAAACATTAAAAAAACTGGAAGCACAAAAATTTGTAGGAGACTTAAATTGAAAAGCCAAAAACAAATCAAATGTTTGTAGTGTCCTTTAGATATAAAAAGAAGATGTGGTATGATTGCCAATGATACAACTCTCCACAAGAAGCTCCTTGTTATGTAAATTGACCCCACACCCCCGTAATTGTAAATTGATGTGATATTTTTTGCAGGTAAATATGTCAAGGCAGTCTTTCTATCCTGTAAAAATTTACTCATGATATTCATTTCATGCTTCAGCAACCTTTTTTTTTTTTTAAAGAAATCCTATATTTATATTCAGATTCAACACTGCAATATTAACACTAGACCACTTTCGAGTTATATCATTCACCGGTACAGTTCATCAATTTTGCACGTCTTTATGACGTCATTTACCAGATTGAGGGGACCGCCTGTATCCCTGCACTATTCAAGTTCACCAAGTGTCTTCGTGATCGTCATTATGCAGGATAAACTAAAAATAATGTTTATTCTTTAGGTACTTAATCACAATTCCCTAATGACAGCAGTGCTGATTATCAGTTATAAGAATTTAATTTGCTGAATAATTCGTTCCGTATAGCATCATATTTTTTTCAACGGCTCGCTCAACATGGGAAGGAAGTGACAATGCCCCTAAATGCACGAAAGATGTTCACTGAACCCAAACATTTCAATGGAAATGCAATGAACTCGAAAGTGGTCTATTGTAGTCTTGCTGATGTAGCAATCTGTTGCAAAAAAAAATGTGTACCCTTAAGAATATTAGTTGTCACATTTTGTTTTTGGGGGGAAACAGGGAATTTAAGGAACATATAACTTTATGGTTTTTGGAGTAACCTTAAATATACATGAAACTGCACATAATTCTATAGTACTTAGTTATTCTCTAACAGATGGATAGCGAATTAATAAAGGTAACAAAAACTAACTGCATGTCAGCATGGAGAACTTTCATCTTACTTTAATTATAAAATCTGAAACTATTTGATAGTGAGAAATGGATAGAGTTAGAAAAGTTAAAGGGTTTGCTGCCATGTACTCTGACTAAGCATGCAGTTTGTTTTAATTAGTATTTCGTTATTTAATGACCATAATGTGATTCCCTTAAATAGTGTATTATTCCTGCGTCAATATGCATCCTTGTATCAGAGTATTTTCCATTGTACAAAATTTGTCCCTTTTTGTGAAATTTCCTCCAATTCGTACAAAATTTGTCCATTTTTGTGAAATTTCCTCCAATTCCTTATCGACAGATATATTTTTTTTACTTTACTTATGGGAACAAGAAAATATTTTACTTATTATGTAACGTAAAATACCAAAGGTAACAGTTTTCCCTTTTTAAGGAATATTTCACCCTTGCAGAGAAGGAATATATTGTAATTAGTTCCCCTTGTTGTACTCCTGACCAACATTTTGTTCAAAGTTTTATTATGTCACATAGATATGGCTTGATGTTGTTTTAATTGTTTCAACAAAATATTGAAATGTGAAGAATTTAGGAATTCTATTGTGTTGAAGATTTACCAGGCGTTAGTTCACTGTTGATTGTAAAATACTAAAAAAGATCACAATTAATTTCAGCCAAGGTTTTGTGTCAGTGATTATTAAACCTATAAGGGTCGCCCATATCTGTTCCTGCTATATTAAATTCATTAACAAACTTTTTTAGGAATGGGGTAGTTGTAACCAAGTAATGAAGTACCGGGTAAAAGGAAATTTCATGATTTAAGGAAATTCTTTTTATGCAAACACATTGCCCATCTATTCATTTGCACAAATTATTGTTCAAAATATATATCAACCTTTTAGAAGAAACACTTGAGTACCATAGTAACAGGCAACCACATTGCACGAATATAATCTACTACTCCTATATTTAATGTCCACTTTGACCCTCCATACAATGAGATTATGCTATTTTACCTTGAACCAATTCAGAAATTCACCTTATGCCCTCGTAATGTAATTTGCATTGTGCAACCTTAGCGTCTTTGTTAAATAACTTTTGAACCTACCAGACAGTTCGGTTATTTTCTTACAATACAACAGTTTCTGAAAGTTCAGTTAACAAAAAAAAAAATTTTAAAAGTGCTTTTAGGCATTCATATAATGATATACCAATGGCTTTCTAAAAAAAATAGTCTAGAATGCACATATGAAAATATGGTCAAGTCTTCCATAAAATTTTGCTGTCCTAAGCAAAACAAAGGTAGAAATAACACCGTCAAAATGTAAACAGAATATGTTGATATTCAATATTTATGATACTTCTGGTTATCACCATAAGTAGTAATGTTTTGTTACATGACTTTGGTCAGCAATCATCTTCCTTTTTGTTTTACATATAATAGTTCAATTTTTCAAAAAATCAAAGCATTTTGTCTCGCCTGCAAGGAAAATCCTTTGTCTTGTGATGCTGGTTAACAATTGTTAAGTTTTCTGCTTAATTCAGTTTGATAGGAACTACTTGTGATAGATTAATGATATGTATTATATGTATATGCATAACTATCAGTACATATAAGTTTGACGACTATTTCGAGGCCCATGGTCCAGTGACTTTGAATTAATTAGGGATTTTCAATGTTAAGTTTTTGCTTAAGTCAGGAACTACTTGTGATAGATCAATGATATTTTCTATAAAGTGGCATTACTATCTGTACAAATCAGTTTGATGACTATTTCGAGGCCCTGTCCCCTTGGTTATGGTTCAGCAACTTTGAATTGTTGCAATGTTGCAGTCCATCAGATTCTCTTTTTTCGAATTTTCTACTGACAGGCGAGACATATCTCTGTGTCAACAGTTTATCATGAATTCCTAGTTGTAGTTCACTGAAATAGTTTGTCAGAAAGTTGGACATAAATTTATCGCAAATTCTTTTGATGTGAATTTAAGAGGATGCTCTATGTTGTCATATTTGACTTAAAGTAAATAGTGTAGATAATTTCAATAAAAAGCTTTGGGATTCTTTGGTATGATATTTAAGTTTTAATATTTATACCTTAATATTTTTTCATTTTTCTTCAAGGTAACATAATAGAGTTTAGTTATTTTCATATTGCATTTTGGATGATGATGACCTGAGTGTTACAAATTTTCTCAGGGTTAAATTCCAGACAAGTCAACAAAAGAATGATATTAAAATTTCTGTAATACATACAATCGTGAACTTGTTATTTGCCCAAAGTGTATTCTTACAAAAGATTTGATTAAAAACCTACTTATGGCTTACAAGCCAGTAAATGTCAAAACGATTTTAACAACAATACAACAATGCCTAAATGAGATATCAATTTCAGCTGTATTAAATATAAGAGAAGTAATATATATAGGATATCCTCGGTAATTGTAACTCATTAGGGCCATAATTGGCAGGAGAAATACCAATAAACCACATGTATATTTAACAATAGGTGAAGTAATAACTAGAAATCGTTTATATTTTATTGTCCAATAATCCGTGTTGTAACAAATAGATCCAAGGTTATCACATTTTGTCAAACGAGAAACTCCGGTTTAATGCATGTCTGAACATACGATCTCTTAATAAATATTCTTTGAACTACTAAACTTTTCATTTTCTCTTTTTTGATATACAGGTTAATGTTCTGTGATTTATTTATTTATTTTTTTTTTTAAATATTTCGTATTTTGCTTTTATCTTTGCATGTCATTCTAGTGGTATGTCTCTACTTCGATTTTAAGATAAATGTAAATCCAAGGGGGTGGGAGAATTTGTAGTGCAGGTAAATTTTAAATAATTGCGTTGAGATATATAGACCTGTTTTCTTGTACCTCTTGCAAGAAGAAAATCTAAATTTTTGGTGACATATGATAAGCTAGTAATACTTTATTTGTCAATTATGTACTGAGGGTTGAAAATAGCAGAATTTTTATCTGTGTATTGGACTGTAATGTTGAAATTTCACATAGAACCAAGGAAATCCTTTTATCCAGGTTTAACAATGTTTTTTTGTAATTTTACACGGTGTCCATATTGTTCAAGTAGTCATTTTACACATTTGTGGACCTTTCAGTAATATTTTCATCATTAGTAAAGGCGATTTTTTAAAAAATGCAAGTTGATCTACTGACCTATATTTACAATACTGTTTTGTCTTTTTTTTTTGAATTTATGGAAAGGAAAAAGGAAATCCAATATTTTGTGGTGACTACATTCATGTCTGGTTATTTTAAGGAAGGGTTTTCCAGAAAAAACAGATTAGTGAGGACGTAAGAATTCCCCTGTGACCAACTCCTGCTAATCCTTTATATGTTGTTCAGTAGCGTTTAATTATTTAAATTCTTCAGTTTATCATCATTGATTTGAACTTTACTTGACCTATTTTTAGTTCAGTTTCTGTTAAATGACATATAATATAGTACATTGCTAATTTCTGTAACAATTTTCACAAAACTTATTTTTGCATGAATTAACACTGCAATATAATTTCGTAAAAGGTAGTGATAATTTTATATTGTGTAATATGATGTTGATAATGCTAGCCGTCAGAAATGTCTAAAGTACGATTCTATGAATATCTTTACAGCATGAAACGATCGATCCAAATACATTTAGCTTTGACATGTTCTTTCACTTTTACCGACAATTGGTTGGACGAACTGAAGTTGATAAAGTGTTTGATGAAAGGTATGTTAAAGGCTAAGATATCATCAAGGGATGCAGTGTTGGTGTCTGGGGTGGATCCAGGATTCCAGGAAACGCATATATAATTGTCTGTGGTGGTAAAAATGTGAGGGAAAATTTTCATGCCCCCGCCGCTAGGCTCAGGGGCATTAAGTGTTACGTTTGTCCGTCTGTACGTACGTATGTCCCAAATTGGTTTCCGTTTCCATTCTCTATAGTTTGCCTCAACCAAATGTTATGAAACTTATACACAATGCTTATTTCCATAAAACACAGACCAAGTTCCCTTAGACACATTCTCCATTTATTTTGGAAGATTTTATGCCAAAAAATGATGTTTTTTCAGCTAAATTCTCCATTCAGTGTCACAGTCCAGGTATATTTTTCGTCAGTTTGACCTATTGGTGAGACTTTCTTGTAAACTTTTAAGAATTAAAGTGTAAGCTCTTTGTCCAAACATTGATGCTTAATAGCGGGCACAGATTGTATAAATAAATAATCTGAAAATAATTAGTTTTAGAAGTCTAGAAATACTGCCCCGTATGGTAATAAGATTACTGGTACATATGATCATTTGTAAATTTGACACTTGAATAGGTGTCTTTTCAAAGTCACATAGTGGGAGATACTACATATTAAAAAATGATCTGAAGGGAGATTTAGGCTAGAAGCTATTTCACCTGGTTTTTTTTCATAAAAATTGTTACTTTTTAGTTTGCAGTTAGATAAACAATGTTCAAAATATTTTTTCTATCTCAATATTCAAGTGAATCTAGTTATTAATGAATTAATTAACCCCAAAAAAAATGTCTGGAAATAGTCCACTTTCTATTGTGTATACAAACAATGTTTTGGAAAAAATTGGTCAGGAAAACATATAATAAGTAATAGACTTTTATTTAAATCAGAATCGCAAATACTCACGATAGTTTTGTGAAGGGTCAAAATATCACCAGTAATTATGAATGTTGATGAAGATCATATTATCCTCAGTAATCATGATAATTTTGTGAAAGGTCACATTATCACAAATAATCATGATAGTTTTGTGAAAAGTAACATTATCACCAATCACCAGTAGTCATGATAGTTTTGTGAAAGGTCACATTACCGCCAGTAATCATGATAGTTTTGAGAAAGGTGACATTACCACCAGTAATCATGATAGTGTTGTGAAAGGCACATTATCACCAGTAATCATGATAGTTTTGTGATCGGTAACATTATCACCAGTAATCATGATAGTTTTGTGAAAGGCACATTACCACCAGTAATCATGATAGTTTTGTGAAAAGCACATTATCACCAATAATCATGATAGTTTTGTGAAAGGTCACATTGTAATCATAATAGTTTTGTCAAAGGTCTCGTTATCCTAAGTAATCATGATAGTTTTATGAAAGGGCATATCATCACCAATCACCAGTAACCAATTGTTTTGTGAAAGGTCACATTATCACCAGTAATCATGATACTTTTGTGAAAGGTCACAATATACAAATAACACATAGCTGAGAGGGTGATAGAGCAGATTGTAACCCTGAGAAATGTGTCAACTGAGGCGAAGCCAAGGTTGACAATGTCTTTTCGAGGGGTAACAATCTGCTTTATCACCCTCTCAGATATGTGTTATTTAATTTATTATACTAAATGTTCTGTTATTACTGTCTATTAAATTTCCAATTCAAAGTAATAAACTATGACGTCTTGTACGTAACAACCAACCGTATTTAATAAAGCGCACACTTGATCAAGCGTCTCTGTGAAGGGTACTAGAGTATTTACCATAGGATAGAGTAAATGTCTCCCTCGTATTAACCAATCAAAATCTGGCATTTTGACATGAAGCATAATTATATCAATTGTTATCATGATACTTTTGTCAAAGGTCACAATATCACAAGTAGTCAAGTTTGCTTTGTGATTTCTTTTCATAACATTTTGATCACAGAGAAAAAAATAATCCAATTAAAAAAAATCCTGTTCAAATTGATAATTGGACTTCACAGTTATTTAATTATTTATATTGATACAGGAAGGATCCCACAGTATTGCATTTATTTAACTTCATTATTTTAACTTTTTGATATTAATCTTCTTCTCAAAATAAATTAATTTACATATTAATAAAAAAATATATAATTTACGGTGTTTATTCTACTTGTTTATACAGTTATATAATAAAGTATAAATTCAAGGTCAAGGTCAAGTAATTAACCGTCAATCAAATTGATTATTTATTTTGATATCAATGTTTAATTATATGAAGTTATAGTGTTTATGACATTGAAATGTATGAGACATAAAACTTCAGTAATAATTTGTCTACATTAATTTTTATGCATCACCAATAAGTGGGTGTTACCCATATTCTGGTATCATTCCCTCTGAAAGGAATCGTGAACCCATTCCACATGGCATATTTCATAATATTTTGCTGTTATGTCTTAATACTGTAAATTCAGAAATTATTGCGTGCATTTATTATTGCGATTTTGTCATTTTAGACTAAAACGCGATTTTAATTTTTGCTATATTGAGAAAAATCCTGTTTAATTCATATAAAAAATTTAAAGATGCGAGTTTAAATTATTGCGATTATAACCCTGTCGTATTTTTCGCAATAATAAAAACATCGCAATAATTTCTGAATTTACAGTAAATGAAAGGAGATATAGATATTGAGCTGATTTTTGGTTACAATGCTGTTACTGATTATGAATGCATTTCTTTCTGGAATCCCGAATTGTAGTCCTTTCCTTATTGCACAGGCTGGACTTAAAACATTGCTTTGCATTGTTTGAAAGCTAATTTATGGCCATAAAATCCTATTTTTTCAAGGAAGCCCTATATCATATCTTTTAAGCATTTATTGGAAACTGCACCTTTAATAAGTCTGATTTCATATTCATTTAGGAGGCTGGGAAAGGGTTATTTTATTACAGTTTGTTTTCAATATTTACTTCACATGTTTTCGTCCTTGATGCTTGAGCACAGTCATTATTAACCAAGTTTCTTTCAAATTGGTTAAAAAGCAATGTTCAAGCTTTATCTTATTTTCTCAATCATCATCATGAAATGGCCATTTTATTTCCCATTTGTCTGTGCATTTACCCCTCCTTTATGACCCTCTTTTATGCATGGGCAGGTAGAAAGCCATATTCCAGTTGTTTTTGAGAGAAAATTAGCACAGGAATATGTCAAGCTGCAAATATACCATATATATAAAAAGAAGATGTGGTATGATTGCCAATGAGACTAACTCTCCACAATAGACCAAAATGACACAGAAATTAACAACTATAGGTCACTGTATGGCCTTCAACAATAAGCAAAGCCCATACCGCATAGTCAGCTATAAAAGGCCCCAAAATGACAAATGTAAAACAATTCAAAGGAGAAAACATGCTTATTAAGTACTATTATATAGAAATGAGATATTAGAATTTTTATGCCCCTGCCGTAGCGGAGGGGGCATTAAGATTTACCCTTGTCCGTCTGTACGTCCGTACGTCCCAAAATTGGTTTCCGTTCTCTAACTTTAGTTTGCCTCAATCAAATGTTATGAAACTTATACACAATGCTTATTACCACAAAACACAGATCAAGTTTGAATTTTGGTGGCGTCACTTTTACAGTTCTAGAGTTATGCCCTTTACAAATGGAAAAATTGCTGAATTTTTCGTTTCTGTTCTCTAACTTGAGTTTGCCTCAACCAAATGTTATGAAACTTATACACAATGCTTATTACCACAAACACAGATCAAGTTTGAATTTTGGTGGCGTCACTTTTACCGTTTTAGAGTTATGCCCCTTTGCAAATGGAAAAATTGCTGAATTTTTTGTTTCCGTTCTCTAACTTAAGTTTGCCTCAGCCAAATGTTATGAAACTTATAAACAATGCTTATTACCACAAATCTCAGATCAAGATTAAATTTGGGTATTGTCACTTTTACAGTTCTTGAGTTATGTTCCTTTATAACATTATATAGAAGCGGGTGCATCGTCTGTGTCCCATGGACACATTCCCCATTTATCTTTTTTACATGCTACCTCAAAAGGTAAGAGACATATCACCCTCAAGACACATTATTCTGACTAAGCCAGTCAATGGGAGCAAATGAGGGAGATATTTTCAATTGAAATTTTAGTGACGATAGAAACCATGTCTGAATGATTTAGGTATCTTAACAACTCTTATTTTTACTGGGGCAAGTTTTAGAGGACTTTTAAAATCATGGTTTTGCTTCAGTTAGATATGCAGCATATAATGATGAAGATGATGGATTGATAATTAACGTCCAGCGGTAAATTAATATGCATATTCAGGATGAGAACATGATAATGAAATATAAATATTAACCCTGCTTTGTACTAGAACGACACACTTGAGCTGGCATTTTAACATGAGAGTTCACAAAGTAAAAGTCTGCAGGAAGACATGTCACCTTACCCGGACACATTATTCTGACTCTGAATTGACCAGTCTTTGCTCTTACTCCTTAATGTCGAGCGTTAAGTGGAGAAGCAGCAAGTACTAATTTTAAAGTCTTTTATTTGACCCTCCTGGGGTTCAAACCAATGACCTCCCACACTTGAGGCGAACACGCTACCACCGAGGTGGTGTTTCAGCATATAAGCTGTTGCTGATGTTTATAGACTGGTATGTGTTATCCATTAGAATGGATACTGATTCAAAAGCAAACAGGATATAGGAAGAAGATGTGTTGAAAGTTGTTTTTATTTCTCATTTATAGTGGTGCAAAGAAAAAGCCAATTTTAACAGTGGATCAGTTTTGGCAGTTTTTAAATAAAGAACAACGGGATCCCAGACTAAATGAAATTCTGTACCCACATTGTACACTGTCAATGGCTCAGGAGTACATATCTAAGTATGAAACAAAAGTTGGAATGGCTGACAAAGGTAAGAAAATTATTTTTCACACATGTCTATATATGCATTTACTCTATGTTTTCGGAAAGAAAATTAGCAAATTGCTCACATTCTGCACAAGGATGCATATTTTGAACAAATTTATAGCAAAAGTAAGGTATACCTTGTATGTTTGTTATATTTTTTTTTCTACATGTTTTGGTGGATTGAGTATATACGTACCTAATAAGTCGTGCACAAATAGCAGTATAAATGACAATTATTGATGGGAATTTCAATGTCTTTATTTTCTGACTTACCCAAAAGCCTTTTTTTCATTTCAAGGCTACCAGTATACACAAAAATACAAATATACTTTTGAACAACTTGTTTATTCATTTGTTAATGTAGGTTTTCAGTATCACTGACCAAATAAAAGTGATTTTTTTTCCAAATGATTTTTTTTCTCATATTTAAGATGGTTCCTTATTGGTGTATAAGTATATATGGATTTTTACATACTAAATGACTCCAGTAGATATAGCTTGGCACCATTGTAGGTTATTACAGCACATTTATACATTTATTATACATTTTGTGTAAAAGCAGTTCAGTATAGCACATTTATACATCTTTTGCAAAAGCATTTAATAATAGTATTTCATAATAACATTTGTATACATTTTATGCAAAAGCAGTTCATAATTGCATATTTATATATACATTTATAAGTTCTTTATAGTACATTTATACATTTTGTGCAAAAGCAGTACATTTACACTGAGCACATGTGTTGATTTAGCTGACATTGATTCAACAAATATTTGAATTGACTCAGAGATGCAGTGAATTGTATAATAGTAAATATATATATATATATACTAAACAAACACATTCTACAAAAGTATTGAATTGATGTTACACACGTGTAGAATCTGCACAATTAGATGGCTAAATCACAAGTGTGCATTCAGCTTAACAAAATTTTTTTTTGGAAATGTTTAATTTTGTAATGAAATTTTAATTGAAATTAAATTTAAAATTAATGTGAATATTACATTGCAGACTATAATCATATTTATTGCACATATATCTTTTTACACTGAAGCAGTTTATTAACTATACAGGATTAGGAAAAACTATGGAATTTGTCTAATACATGTTATGTCCCTTTACAACTTTGTATAAATACAGATACATATTATATAGTCACATTGAATTTTGTGAACAATTGCTGTGTAAGGTTTTGACACATAAGTGTAAAAAGTATAAAGTATTGTCTAATGCATTACATTTATTTTGATGTTTTAAAACTATTTACAACTTAAATTATGTAAATGTTAAACAGTTTTTTGCAAGTAGTAAGTTATATTTTGAATTTCTGTACATAAATGTTTAAAAGATTTAGCTGAAATTTATTGAATTGTTCAATTGCAAGAAAATTTATTAACACAGTACAGTATGAGATGTATAGAATAATGGCGTTTTTGTTTTTGATCCTGACTATCAGCAAGAATATCAAGCGAGCCTGCAAGGGCCAGCTGATATTCGAGCTGATAAAGTCAGTATCAAAAAATAAATTCCATTTTTCTTTTTATCGACAATTTGTTTCAACAATATGTGTTTTTGGTGAGAATATGAACTAAAATGAATCAATTACTTAGTAAAACTACTTTTACGCGTACAAAAGTTGTGGTAGTTGTTCAGTTTTATCAAGGAAGTCGTGTGCATTTCATTGATAGATTAACACCAATGAACATGAACACAAGATGTTGCTGCACTGATATGTGCTGTCATTGCCTAATATTTTTGAGTATCAAGTCCTGTCCATGATCTACACAAATATTAGGCAGTAGGACCAAAGGAAAAATGTAGAAATTGCTGATAATGAGTGTTATTTGGTAAACAATTGTCTATGAAAACTGGCAAGATTTTCGCTATTTGTAATGTTTAAACAGAGGTATATATAGTAAGAAGATCATTTTAATTATATATATACTTAAGTATTCATAGTTTTTTGTTCCCAAACAGTAGCATTTTGTTTTTGCTGTTAAACTTAATTTCTGCAGCAGTAAATACAAGTCTGAAATGTCTGATCAATATTGAGTTACTCAAACACTGAAGTTACAAAGTGTGGACCTTATCCATATTCAAAATGTTTTGTATACACAGATTTTTTTGTTATCATTTTAAAATGTTACACTTAACCAATAATTGAATTGTTTAATTTTCTATTTTATTATCCATATAGAGAAATCAGCAAGAGCTACACATGCTACAAGAGTGTTTAAAAAAAATGTTTGAAAAAAAACAATAGTTAAACTTGATAAAGCCATAAAATTTTTTTTGGAAAAATCAAACTGAAGTTAAACTTGATAAAGTCATACAAAATTATTTGAAAAATCAAACTAAAGTTAAACTTAATAAAGCCATAGAAAATTATTTGAATAATCAAACTGTAGTTTAACTTGATAAAGCCATTTAAAAATTATTTGAAAAATCAAACTGTAGTTAAACTTGATATGATTGTGAAGCCATGATGTGAACATGGCCATATATTTCACGTAGCAAGCAAATTTAATGTTCTTTCCAGTAAATGGATTGGACAGTCAGTAATTCATTATAAAAATCAAATCACCTGAACTTGAAAATGAGTTGATTAGACAGTTAGTAATTCATTATAAAAATCAAATTATCTCAACTTGAAAAATTCTTCATTAAAGTGTTAAGTTGCTTATTAAAAATCTTTGTTTGATTTTCTGCATGAAAATCTCATACAATAAGAATGGACTAAAAATTATGAAAACAAGGGTACAGAGATAGATACATATGGCAGGATACAGTATTGATGTTAAAATTAACTTGATTTACTTGTAGTAGATTGGATTTTTAAACAGATTATGAGTTTTCCATTAGAATAAGGACCAACAAATCTGTCCTTGAGTTTTGACACGTTTCCATCAATATATTTAATGGCAAAAAAATAATGAATAGCATTTGTATCCAAAGTGAATTATTTTTAAAAATAAAATCTGTTTGTTGATGTTGGATAATCAAGACATAGAATCTATTTCATATAACATGAATATATCTAATAAATAACCATTTTCTCATTTAAACCACTTGTTTAAAGTTATGTCTTTGTAATCTTTCAATCAAAAAACTATTTTCATGAAAGTGAATCTTTTCAATTCATTTTTAGTGCAATCTGTCTATATTCACATCATTTTTATGCACTTTTTCTCACATCATCACATTTTTTAGCCGATGAAGGTAAGAGGCATGTTTAAATGTGGCATGTGTTTAGACTAGACAGTCTTACAATACACCATCCTGTTTGCTCACCTTGTGAAAAGGATTGTTTTGCGCCCTAATTTGTCCATCTAGAATAGAGGAAAATTTGTGTTGATCATGGGACACTTTAAGCTATTCTTCCTTAAAGCAATATGCTATTTGTTGTTCCTCATCATATTCCTGAACGCATAGTTTTTTTTTGCAATCATGAGTTATCACTCTAAACCAAAAGAATGTCCTGCCCTTAATAGCTGTTCACATCTTGGTTGACATTAACAGACTTTTACAACTATTACCTGCACTGTCAATAACTGTGATTTACACACTGTGGACACAAGGTCTACGTTTGAGAACGGTCAAGGCCTATGCTATAGGAATCAAACTTTGGACTTGACTAACAAACAAATTCAGATTTTCAATATGCTGGCTAAGAAGTACAGCCTGTGTGAAGCCATATTGTAAGCCTACCAATTCTTGTGTTTATTCCTACATGCTTTGTTCTAATTAGAGATTTCGTTCTCAATATGCATGAAATATTTGCCACTGGGTGTAAAGCAAACACAATTCAATAAATGTAAATAGAAAAGAGACAATACCAGTTTTAGACTCCCATTGTAATCTATGTAGGGATCACACTCTAATGAGACCATGGAGGATGTCCCCATTTTATGTGCAGCCCATTGCTTCAACATTAACTACAGGATTATTGTCGTAAAAACATATACTGGTGTGAAAGTGGTGGTAAGTGGTGACAAATAGGTGTATTGTAAGCTGTAAGTTTAATAAACAATTTGCATTCATTATCAATGTCCATAATTTCTGTTTAATTTTTAAGTTGAAAGGTCAAATGTCACTTTATATTAGAATAGATCTTAATACAGCACATGAGCATGGTCTTATTCCTCATTTTCATCATAAATAACATTTTTATTTTATTGAATTTTATTTTCACAGTTCTTTTTTAAAATAGATTAGTTATTTTTATGGTTCTTTATTAAAAAAGATATTAGATATTTTATTTAGATAGTACACACTATATATCATTCTTTTTGTTATCATAGGTTTAGAAAGAAAAACAAATGTACCAGATCAGTTGATTATTTAAAACAAGTATTTGATATTAAATGATATCAAATATCAGTGGGTTGTAATAGTTTATTACTTTGTAGTTTACGGTCAAATAGAAAACTTGTATGTTTTACAAATCTGACCAACTTGTTTCATTACCATTTATGAACAAGATGATTTTGGAATGGTTTCTCTCTGGAAGAAAGAAGTAAAAGATATATATGCAAACCAACTATCCTTGTGTCAATTTTAGAAATGAAGTTTTTATTGGAAAATAAATAAAGTGCACAAAAAAAACCAAAAAAAAAAAACCATACATGTTGGTCACCACCCATTGGTGGCCTTTCGGCTGTTGTCTGCTCTATGGTCGGGTTGTTGTCTCTTTGACACATTCCCCATTTCTATTCTCAATTTTATGGACTTTGATGCATATAATTAGGGTAACCAACAGTGGTCATTTAAGAGATATATTTTTGGCATCAAATCAAAGTCTAAAACAATAGCCATAACCTTGAGGTCGTGTTTTCCTCACTTGGTTTGGAAACTTATTAGTAATAAATAAAGATTTGAGGTATACTTATATGAGACATCAACCCAACAATAAAGAACAATTTTTTTGATTAGATAAAAATAATCACATCTTTTTTGCCCCTCAAAAGATTCATTAAAAGGTATGGCTTTTCCAGTTAAAGAGTGTTTCAATAGAATCTGTTATTACTAGTTTAACGTCAGGTAAAGTATATATACTGAAATTTCAAATATTGTTGCCGGAGTTATTGATCTGTTAGCATGATTATGTCCTTATGGGAATTATCCATGTCATGCAATTTTAATGTCCAGTATGAAATACAGCCTAGGGATAAGACAATGTATGATTAAATTTAATAATCTTTGTTTTCTCTCTATCAATCATTAAGGATTGATCAAAATTAACCTGTTAATGAGTGTCATGATTTAGTTATATTTAAGGATTCATATTTCATTAGCAGAAAAACCACGGTTGGAGAAATCTGTTGGTCCTTTATAGAGAAGGGTGGAAGGACCTTTTTCAGGAATTCATGAGTAGCCAGTTTAATTGTTGAGAATTCAGGATTTAACTTTATCGAAATGTGGGAATGTACACATTATTTTCACAGGAATTTGTGCTTTGGAATCCCTCTTACCCCCTATTTAGACTCCAGTTCAAATTTTTGAATGTTTTTTATGGACTTAGGATTACATAGTAAACATTATTGAACAAGATTCAATGGATTTACATTTCACTATGCTTTTTTAATATTTCAAGTTTTTATAAATAAATTGCATTTTCCTCCTTGAATAAATAAAATTTAGATGAAATTATTGAATTTTGATCAATTACATGGCTGTAGGGGTATCACATTGATGCAACATTGGAATCCAGTTCTGATACATCTAGCAAGGTCACACAATTAAATAACAAAAAATCATTTATCTTCATATAAACTATAAAACATCTTTTTTGGTTGTTTTTGGTGAATTGGTACATAATAACTTCAAAAACCCAAGTAATTTTACACTCGGATCAATAAATCATTTTCTTTTTCCAAAAAGGCTGGGACTTTAATTTTTTTTTTTATTCTTCAAGTAGTTTTTATACGACCGCAAAAATTAAAAATTTTTTGGTCGTATATTGGTATGACGTTGGCGTCGTCGTCGTCGTCGTCTGAAGACACATTGGTTTTCGCACTCTAACTTTAGTTTAAGTGAATGGATCTCCGTGAAATTTTACCATAAGGTTCAATACCACAAAAGGAAGGTTGGGATTGATTTTGGGGGTTATGGTACCAACAGTTAAGGAATTAGGGGCCAAAAAGGGGCCAAAAATAAGCATTTTTGTAACTTCCAGACATAACTTGTGTGTTAGTGTATGGATCTCTCTGACATTGTACCACAAGGTTCCATATCACAAAGGGAATGCTGGGATTGATTTTGGGGGTAATTACCTCAAAATGTAAGGAATTAGGGGCCAAAAAAGGGGCAAAAAACAAGCATTTTTCTAGTTTCATGATAATAACTTGTGTGTAAGTGTATGGATCTTTCTGAAATTGAACTACAAGGTTCCATATCACAAAGGGAAAGCTGGAATTGAGTTTGGGGATAATTGCCCAAAACGTTTAGGAATAAGGGGCCAAAAAGGGGCCAAAAATAGCATTTTTCTAGTTTCCAGACAATAACTTGTGTTCAAGTGTATGGATCTCTCTGAAATTGTACTGCAAGGTACCATACCATAAAGGGAAGGCTGGGATTGATTTTGGGGGTAATTGCCTCAAAATTTCAGGAATTAGGGGCCAAAAAGGGGAAAAAAACAAGCATTTTTCTAGTTTCAGGACAATAACTTGTGTTCAAGTGTATGGATCTCTCTGAAATTGTACTGCAAGGTACCATACCACAAAGGGAAGGCTGGGATTGAGTTTGGGGGTGATGAATCATAAGGGGTTTCAAAAAAATTTGGGGGGGGATTTTTTTTTTCCTTTTTTTTTCTTTTAAAATTTTCCATTTTAAGTTGGTTATTTCTGATTTATATTTAAAAGCAAATAATAATGATATGGTAGGAGATACATACCAAACAGGATGTGTAAATTATTATATAATAAGTATTGTGCAATAGCAAGAAATTTTCAATTGCACAGTATTGCACAATAGCAAGAAATCTTCCATTGCACAGTATTGCGCAATAGCAAGAAATCTTCAATTGCACAGTATTGCGCAATAGCAAGAAATATCCAATAGCACAATATTACGCAATAGCAAGAAATTGTCAATTGTACAGTATTGGGCAATAGCAAGAAATATTCAATTGCACAGTATTGTGCAAAAGAAGATACTTCGTATAAATTACTTATTTCTTGACCAATTTCAATGGGGTTTTATTCTTGAATTCTTGGGGTTCTTTAATATGCTGAATCTAACCGTGTATTAAGTTTTTGGATTTTGGGCCCCGTTTTTAAATTGGTCCACATTGAGGTCCAAAGGGTCCAAAATTGAACTTTGTTTGATTTCATCAAAAATTGAATTATTGGGGTTCTTTGATATGCCGAATCTAACCGTGTATTTAGATTCTTAATTGTTGGTTCCGTTTTCAAATTGGTCTACATTAAGGTCCAAAGGGTCCAAAATTAAACTTAGTTTGATTTTAAAAAAAATTGAATTCTTAGGGTTCTTTGATATGCTGAATCTAAACATGTATTTAGATTTTTGATTATGGGCCCAGTTTTCAAGTTGTTTCAAATCGGGGTCCAAAATTAAACTTTGTTTGATTTCAACAAAAATTGAATATATGGGGTTCTTTGATATGCTGAATCTAACCATGTATTTAGATTTTTGATTTTTGGGCCCCGTTATCAACTTTGTCCACATTGAGGTCAAAAGGGTCCTAAATTAAACTTTGTTTGATTTCATCAAAAGTTCTTAGACCACATTCATTCTGTGTCAGTAACCTATGCTGTGTCAAATATTTAATCACAATCCAAATTCAGAGCTGTATCAAGCTTGAATGTTGTGTCCATACTTGCCCCAACTGTTCAGGGTTCGACCTCTGCGGTCGTATCAAGCTGCGCCCTGCGGAGCATTTTATTTGTTCTCAAAAGAGGTTGACCATTGCAACATTGATATGCATACAAAACATTGAATATGCAATAATAATATTACTCAGAAAAATGAATTTTCAAAAGAAATATTGAACTAACGATTTAAAATTACAAGATATTCCTCTGTGTTTTCTCAAATATTGTACTCATCTTGAACATGCATGAAATATTTGCCATTGGACTCTTAAGCAACCAACAATCAATCAATCAAATATCTTACGACTATTATAATCATAAGTAAAACTAACATGATCATGAAAGAAGAGTGATTTTTCATCAAAATAACAGCTGATCTTTTGAATCTCTGACATGTTTCTATTTTTCTGATTACAGGTCAAGTGACACAAGAGGGTTTTCTGAAGTTTCTGATGGGAGAAGAGAACAATGTGGTTGCTCCAGAGCTGTTGGATTTGAGTCAAGAAATGACACATCCTTTGGCTCACTACTTCATAAACTCTAGCCATAATACATACTTAACAGGTATTCAATTTCAATATTTAATACCCCCCTCTCACCTTTTTAAAGGATAAAGGGGGTATGCTGGTATACAGATGTCTGTCTGTCTAACACATTTCTGTCACATTTTTTCTTCACAACCACGTCATAGCTTCTTGAGATATGGCACTAAGTTTCATCTGGGTACGTCATACTGTGTAAAACTTTTTTTTGTCACCTTATTATTGAGCAGGGGTGTATTTTGTTTGCAATAGCTCAAAATTCATCGTGTTTTTTATATCTGTTTGAACATTTCCTATAAATAATGTGTGAAAATTGAGGTAAAAATAAATATCCAGTCTTAAATGTATTCAATTCAAATTATTCAATTTTTGAATACTTACTGGTAAACTTTCAAATTAAAGCCATCTGATATATTTTGCAGGGCATCAGTTAACTGGTAAATCTTCAGTTGAGATGTACCGGCAGGTGTTACTGAGTGGGTGTCGTTGTATAGAGCTGGACTGTTGGGATGGGAGGAATACCGACGAGGAACCAATTATAACACATGGCTATACAATGTGCACAGAAATTTATTTTAAGGTATGTCTTGACATCATGTGGAATAACTGAAGAAGAATAACTGATATATATTAATGCATACATTGTTGAAGGTTGTATGGTGACATATAGTTGCTAGCCTTCTAAGTCATTTGGTGTCTGGTTGATAGCTGTCTCATTGGAAATAATACCACATCCTTGTTGAGTGTGAGGTATACTGCATTCAGCTTGTGTGTCTGTTCAAACTGATAACTCTCTTTACATGTTTCCCAAAATCTAAATTAAGAAACAGTTTCATTTTTTTTCTATGATACTAAAAGTAATTTTCATGTCTGCTGTGCAGCTTCTTTCTGTTTGCTTGTTTAACTGTGCTGAATGTACATTATTTTTTGTAAAGCTTGGCTTGTATGCAAGTGAATGATTTTATATTTGGTGTAAAGGTGATAATGTTGAGTTGTACTTTTTAATTGGTTTTCTGAGCTCTCGGTCATAAAACTTTACTCAGTACTTGGAGTGCAAAATTTGTGCTTGAAACACCAAATCCAATATTTTGAATGGTTGATATCTGAATCTAAGTATGATAATTTTGCTCAAAATTTTTATGACTGCACTGCCTGATCCGATCTGCAGCAACTTTCATGTTGCAATAAGTTCGAAAAATTTAAAATTTATAATTTTTTTGTCGATTTTAAAGTTATGCAGGTTGATAAGGAAGAGTTCTGTCATGTAAGCTATTTTCAGATTGGCCATGCAACTGTTTTTGGTCCTTTGGAATTTTTCTTTAAAGTTTGGCTTAAATAAAAGAATGTCATTTGATATTTGGTAGAGAGCTTAATAATTTATTATTGTACTCGGTAATGATTTCCAAATTTGCCCTGCAGTCATTCCTTATTTTCAGATATTTTGATAGTTGTTTACCATATCATAACATTACATGCAACTTCATATGAATAAAAGGAGTTTTGGGGTTTACGTTAAGGAGACAGCAAACCAAAGACACAAATAACCAAATGACATATAGAGGCAACACACAGTCTTCAATATGTCAAGCTCTATATCGTCCAGAATCAATTGAAAAAAGTTATGAATAATTTAAACAAAATTGATCAGAGATCTGCCATCAATATCAAATTCTTCAAATACCCCCCCCTCCAAAAAAAAAAAAACAAAAAAAAAAAAAAAACCATAACGATATAAGATAGCCTCTGACAAGGTTCTTGATGAGGACAGGCACATGAATATGTTACATGGTTGAACTTGCTTTTCTAGATCTCAACCCTCACCCTTTATAATCTCAATCTGTAAGCTAACAAAATATTAATAAGTTTATATACAACAAAAATCTTTAAAGCTTATGATATATTAGATAATAAAAACACAAATCCAAAATCTGTAAATAAAAAAGATTAAAACATGTAATTCAGTTTCAAAGAATACTTTCAGTCACTGAAAGCAAGCTGAAACTACAAAACCTGCTGTTATAAAATCATGCAGTCCTACACTTTAATAATTGAACTTGTGATATGAAAAATACATAGAAAATTTTAAAATCTTCATTGGAACAATATATTCTGATTTGAAGAAGAAAAGGTATAGACTTATGTGCATAAGATTTTAATACAAAAAGAAAATAATAAAAGTTTCATAATTGTAATGACTTTTTATTTTGTAGGAAGTAATAGAAGCCATTGCCGAAAGTGCCTTTAAAATATCAGAATATCCAGTCGTATTGTCATTTGAAAATCATTGCTCGTAAGTCTGTACTGTAAATTCAGAAATTAATGTGTGCATTTATATATTATTGTGATTCACTGATAACTGATAAAAATGCGAGATCACATTGATGCAATTAAGTGCCAGTCTTTGTAAGAATCAGGCAATTTAGAAATATTTCAAAACATGGCCGAAAAAAACCCACCGACCTAACCACCCCATTTTGAAGGTACTCTCATCCTGAGTTAGAAATTGTAGGTCTATCGTTTCTGCGTGTCTGGTAATTCGAGAAATATCTAGATAAATTTTGGTTAGAATAATAGCAAATTACGGAGTTATCTCCCCTTAATTGTTTATTTCTAGTGCATTTCAACCAAATTATATCTTGTATTACCAGATTAGAGAAAGGAAACGAACATTATATTCATGTACCATTATACATTCTGAACTTAAATTCATTTAAAGTTGACTGGGTTTTTGTTTGTCATGTTTTCACCACTGCCTGATTCTTTGGCAGATTGGCAATTAAACCTTTGTAAAGAAAAAACACTACTGTAATTATGAGGTATTTTGGGTATTGTTGTGAAACACATACTGTCACATTTTTCACATTGATATAAGCATCTCAGTAATTTCTGAATTTAGAGCAGTGGTAGGGAGTGTTGATCATGTTTTCTGCATATTTATATTGTGAAATATCAGCTGAAAATCACTGTATGAATAATTTTATTTTAGAGTGAGCACAGAGAAAAAGCTGGACAAGCTTCAAATTGTTTTGAACAGCTGATATTTTTCAACATTTTTTTTGTATTCATGATAAAAACAGTATTTTTTCTTTATTCTTATTTAACATGCTAACCAAGTATTTTTAATAAAAAATGGCATCACCAGTAACTTATAATTTTACTGGTGCTGGAAAGACAAGAACTCTTTAAAAACTAGCATTGACTTAAAAAGCTGTCAAAAAGTATGTTCATGTATTATTAGTAAGCTTGAGGGGGGCATTCGTGTCCTCAGACACATTCATCTTTTATTTTTGTCGCGCCTTGACGGAATCAAAAAGCGAGACATAGGTATGGTGATTCAGCATTAGCGTCAACAATGTATTAGTTTCTGATAAGGTCAGTTTATGGGGAACCACTAGTGGTAGGTCAATGATATTTGGTATGCAGTTGTATTAGCATTGGCACATCTCATTTCAATGGAGATTATTTGGCCTTGTTCATTGACTTTGAAACTTTTGCTTATGGGTTGTTTGCATGTATTAGTTTGTGATTAGGTCATTTTATGGGGAACCACTGGTGGTAGGTCAATGATATTAGGTATGCAAGTGAATAAGCATTGGCACATCTTATTTCCATGGGGATTGTTTGGCCCCGCCCCCTCAGTCATGGTCTGTTGACTGTGAAACTTTTGGTTAGTTTACATGTATTAGTTTGTGATTAGGTCAGTTTATGGGGAACCAGTAGTGGTAGGTCAATGATATTTGGTATTCAGTTGCATTAGCATTGGCACATCTCATTTCAATGGAGATTATTTGGCCTTGTTCATTGACTTTGAAACTTTTGCTTATGGGTAGTTTGCATGTATTAGTTTGTGATTAGGTCATTTTATGGGGAACCACTGGTGGTAGGTCAATGATATTTGGTATGCAATTGAAAAAGCATTGGCACATCTTATTTCCATGGGGATTGTTTGGCCCCGCCCCCTCAGTCATGGTCTGTTGACTGTGAAACTTTTGGTTAGTTTACATGTATTAGTTTGTGATTAGGTCAGTTTATGGGGAACCAGTAGTGGTAGGTCAATGATATTTGGTATTCAGTTGTATTAGCATTGGTGCATCTCATTTCCATGGAGATTTATGGTCCATTGACTTTAAAACTTTTGCTTAGTTGACATGTATTAGTTTGTGATTAGGTCAGTTTATTGGGAACCACTGGTGGTAAGGCAATGATATTTGATATGCAGTTGTATTAGCATTGGCACATCTCATTTCCTTGGAGATTGTTTGGCCCTGCCCCCTCAGCCATGGTCCATTGACTTTAAAACTTTTGCTTAGTTGACATGTATTAGTTTGTGATTAGGTCAGTTTATTGGGAACCACTGGTGGTAAGGCAATGATATTTGGTATGCAGTTGTATTAGCATTGGTGCATCTCATTTCCATAGAGATTGTTTAGCCTTGTACCTTCAAATCATGGTTCATTGACTTTGAAACATTTGCTTAACTTTCATGTTAAAGTATTGTTATATTTATTTCAACATTTGCATTTTACTTTCAAAATAACAAAAATGCGAGACATATCTCTGTGTTAACAGTTTATTGATATTAAATACAATTTTCAAGTGGACACTTTTTGAACTGACAGAAAAAGTTCCTATCTAAATATCTGCAGTATTAAAAGCTATTTATTTTTCGTATATTTCAGACCAAAACAACAAGCAAGAATGGCTACACATTGTAGGAACATTTTTGGAGACCTGTTGTTAACAGAACCTCTTGACTCATATCCAGTAAGTTATAGGTAGAATATATGTCTCTGGCTTACTTAGCATATAGCATCCTATTCTGTGGTTATATAAATAGATATAAGAAGATGTGGTATGAGTGCCAATGAGACAACTCTCCATCCAAGTCAAAATTTATAAAAGTAAACCATTATAGGTCAAAGTACGGTCTTCAACACGGAGCCTTGGCTCACACCGAACAGTAAGCTATAAAGGGCCCCAAAAATTACTAGTGTTAAACCATTCAAACGGGAAAACCAACGGTCTAATCTATATAAAAAACGAGAAACACTTATGAACCTTATCAACAAACGACAACTACTGAACATCAGATTCCTGACTTAGGAAATACTTTAAAGTTACATGTACAGTGTTGTGTGATTTTATTTGGGTGTTGGTTTAAATAAGGATTTCCTTGATCTCCTATATTGGAGGTGAAGATTTATTACAGATACAGATATAGTGGCCTCGGTTTACAGTATAATGATAGAATTATCTGTTGGCTGATATTACTTATATTTTAATTGACTGTTGACTCATATTACTTATATTGTTATTAATTATCATTATACCTTACATTATCATGATTATATAGTAATGATTTGATTGGCTAATACGGAATCACGTATCATAGTTTAACTTTAATGTTTTTCAAAAAATTGGCAGGAGCAGTGAATAACCCTGACAAATTGAAGCCTCCATTGAACAACCCTATTATTCCCCGGTGAATAACCTTTTCAGCCCCTTGGTTTTTCAACGAGTTATCTCCCATGAAAAAATGACGTCATTGACGCCTGTAAACAAAATGGCAATTGCCAGGGAAAGAAGCCCATCAAGTAACAAGGAAACAAGATCTAATAAGACTTGGAAAATCAACTAGCTCCAAGGATATCTCTCGTAAACAGTCCTTTTCAGGGCCATCAATATTTTACAGAAAGAGTCTACCTTTGTTGTACATACCTGAAATTCTTAGACACAAAATAATTTTCTAACATAAATGTTTTGACAATCTTTTTTTTCTCCCGTAAGCAATATTTTACACTGAATTGTTTGTTTGGTATAATAAAACAGTTATGGCCCATTGATTCGTTGAATATCCAAAATTGTCAACCCGAGTAAGGGTTATTCTCCTCGGGCTAAAGCCCTCTTGGAATAACCCTTACTCAGGTTGACAATTTTGGATATTCACCTCCTCAGCGGGCCATAATCGATATTGACTCATATTACTTGTATTTTTATAGACTTTTGACTAGTACAAATGTATTACTTATATTTTTACTGACTGATGACGATTATTTTTTATATCTTTATTGACTTTAACTAATATTGCATATATTTTTTTCAGATTGAGTTAGGAGAAGGATTACCCCCACCTTGCAGTCTAATGAGAAAAATTATTGTGAAAAACAAGAAGAAACATTTTCATCATAATAAAGGTAAATTTATAATATGCATCAATATGTATAATAGCAGACATTTTCTTATTTATTCATCAGCTTGTCATGTTATCATGTTCATGTCCGGTTTAAATTGAAATTGATAATTAAGATATTCTGTAACTCATGTTTTCCTGCTACAAAACTGAAATTGTCTTACAGTATATCATATTAAGGATGTTCGCTCCTCTGTTTCAAAATAACAAGCTTTTTAAATGACTGTTATAAATTGATAGTCTATAAGTAGCCGAACTTCAAAAGCAGAAAAAAATGAAAGGTCTGTGTCCTTGTTTTTGAGATATTATCAATTGAAAATTTGGCAGGAAATGATTCTCTCTAGATTTGTTATAAATTAAATATTGGCACCTTTATTCTTTTAAAAACTACGAAAAATAATAAGGATTTTATAAGATTTTCAAAAACAGCTTTTGAAACTACATGTAAAAAAATTACCAGATGGACAAAACTAGAGGATTCTGAATATCTGACAAAAAGTCAAAAACAAGAGTAGCAAACATCCTTAAAACAATTTCCAGCTGTTTGTTGACCTAGCACATTAAAAATGTTTGTCTTGTACAATGCAGGGTTAACTTATGTTCATATCATATTGACATGTTTTCGTCCTGAATATGTATTTAGTTCTGCAGTGGTCCCAATTCCATAGGCTTACTATTAATACGAAAATTACCGTAATATTTTACTTATTTACAAAGTCACAGCTATGGGTAGGAACTATTTTGTTTAGAATATGTTCTTCTTTTTTTCAGACCGGGCCTATAATATTAATTCTATACATTGCGTGGACAATTGCCCAGGTGATGTCATTGATTAAAAAAAAACCGTACCAATCTGATTAAAATACAGGTCCTGTGTCCAAGCTTTGCTTACAAGGATCTGAAAACCCTCCATCCTACTTTCTGATTTAAAGACCTTTCAGGATCCTGATGTCAAACAAAACCTTACTCTTGTTGTTCAAAGTGACTTTTAAATGTATTGCTAAGCAATATGACTTTTACTATATGCATATGACTGTCTCTATTTGTTCACCTTGTTCACGCTGGATCAGTTTCTGCTTTGGTTTTCAATCACCATGTTACGTTATCTATAGTGGTAGTGGCCGTTGGTCTTTTAAATACAAAACTGGCAGAAAAGTTTTAACAAACCAAGCACAATTAAAAAAAAGACTTGCTCATCAGTGTTTATATCAAATAAAACAGCTATAGCATATAAACTGGAATGAAATATATTTCAGGAATGTTGTGGTGTAAAACCCAAAATATTCAGGAGCTTATTGGTGTAAAACCAAATTTGTCTTAGGGGTGAATTAGAATTGATGATGCAAATTAATAAATATTTCACTCAATTGCAGAAAAAATGATAAAACTCCAATTTGTAAATTCTTATCTGGAGCTCGGACTGGTCAATAACAGTTCAAGAACTCCTTCCTTTTTAATTGTCAAGCAAAGTTTTAAGTTTCAATTTTTGTTTAATAAATGTTGTTATAATTTTTACTTTAGAAATACTTGTCCTTGAGTTATTATATACACCTTCTTAGACATATGTGAAAATTGTCATTTTGTGACAGAAATGAGATTATCCATTTTAACACACGAAAGATAGAGCTCATTTTAAAATATATCAAAATTTCATTGACTGACTAACATATTGTCAACTACTAACTTTTTATACGACCACAAAAAAAAGGGCCAAGTGAGCTTTTCTCATCACTTGGCGTCCGTCGTCCGTCGTCGTCCGGCGTCGTCCGGCGTCGTTCGTCGTCGGTGTTAACTTTTTACATTTTGAACTTCTTCTAGAGAACCACTGAATGGAATGAAACCAAACATGGCATGAATGTTCCTTATGAGGTGCTGACCAAGTGTTGTTACTTTGTAGCCGATCCATCATCCAAGATGGCCGCCAGCGGGGGACTTAGTTTAACATAGGACCCTATGGGAAATGCATACAAATGACTTCTTTTAGAGAACCACTGAATGGAATGTAACAAAACATAGCATGAATGTTCCTTACAAGGTGCTGACCAAGTGTTGTTACTTTGTAGCTGTTCCATCATCCAAAATGGCCACCAGTGAGGGACTTAGTTTAACATAGGACCCTATGGGAAATGCATACAAATGACTTCTTTTAGAGAACCACTGAATGGAATGAAACAAAACATAGCATGAATGTTCATTAGGAGGTGCTGACCAAGTGTTGTTACTTTGTAGCTGATCCATCATCCAAGATGGCCGCCAGCGGAGGACTTAGTTTAACATAGGACCCTATGGGAAATGCATACAAATGACTTCTTTTAGAGAACCACTGAATGGAATGAAACAAAACATAGCATGAATGTTCCTTACAAGGTGCTGACCAAGTGTTGTTACTTTGTAGCTGTTCCATCATCCAAAATGGCCGCCAGTGAGGGACTTAGTTTAACATAGGACCCTATGGGAAATGCATACAAATGACTTCTTTTAGAGAACCACTGAATGGAATGAAACAAAACATAGCATGAATGTTCATTAGGAGGTGCTGACCAAGTGTTGTTACTTTGTAGCCGATCCATCATCCAAGATGGCCGCCAGCAGGGGACTTAGTTTAACATAGGACCCTATGGGAAATGCATACAAATGACTTCTTTTAGAGAACCACTGAATGGAATGTAACAAAACATAGCATGAATGTTCCTTACAAGGTGCTGACCAAGTGTTGTTATTTTGTAGCTGTTCCATCATCCAAAATGGCCGCCAGTGAGGGACTTAGTTTAACATAGGACCCTATGGGAAATACATACAAATGTCTTCTTTTATAGAACCACTGAACGGAATGAAACCAAACATGGTATGAATGTTCCTTATGAGGTGCTGACCGAGTGTTGTTACTTTGAAGCCGATCCATAATCCAAGATGGCTGCCAGCGGGGGACTTAGTTTAACAAAGGACCCTATGGGAAATACATACAAATGTCTTCTTTTAGAGAACCACTGAATGGAATAAAACCAAACATGGTATGAATGTTCCTTATGAGGTGCTGACTGAGTGTTGTTACTTTGAAGCCGATCCATAATCCAAGATGGCCGCCAGCGGGGGACTTAGTTTAACATAGGACCCTATGGGAAATACATACAAATGTCTTCTTTTAGAGAACCACTGAATGGAATGAAAACAAACATTGCATGAATGTTTCTTATGAGGTGCTGACCGAGTGTTGTTACTTTGAAGCCGATCCATAATCCAAGATGGCCGCCAGCGGGGGACTTAGTTTAACATACCACCCTATGGGAAATACATACAGATGTCTTCTTTTAGAGAACCACTGAATGGAATGAAACCAAACATGGCATGAATGTTCCTTATGAGGTGCTGACCAAGTGTTGTTACTTTGAAGCTGATCCATCATCCAAGATGGCAGCCAGCGGGGGACTTAGTTTAACATAGGACCCTATAGGAAACACATTCAAATGTCTTCTTTTAGAGAACCACTGAATGCAATGAAACCAAACATGGCATGAATGTTCCTTATGAGGTGCTGACCAAGTGTTGTTACTTTGAAGCTGATCCATCATCCAAGATGGCAGCCAGCGGGGGACTTAGTTTAACATAGGACCCTATGGGAAATACATACAAATGTCTTCTTTTAGAGAACCACTGAATGCAATGAAACCAAACATGGCATGAATGTTCCTTATGAGGTGCTGACCAAGTGTTGTTACTATGAAGCCGATCCATAATCTAAGATGGCCGCCAGCGGAGGACTTAGTTTAACAAAGGACCCTATGAGAAATACGTACAAATGTTTTCTTTTAGAGAACCATTGAATGGAATGAAACCAAACATGGCATGCATGTTCCTTTTGAGGTGCTGACCAAGTGTTGTTACTTTGAAGCTGATCCTTCATCCATGATGGCTGCCAGATGGGGACAATGTTTAACAAAGGACCCTATGGATGATACATACAAATGTCTTCTTTTAGAGAACCACATACTGAATGGATTGAAACCAAACATGGCATGAATGTTCCTTATGAGGTGCTGACTAAGTTTTGTTACTTTGAAGCTGATCCTTCATCCATGATGGCCGCCAATAGGGGGACTTCCTTTAACATAAGACCCTATGGGAAATACATACAAATGCTTCTTCTAGAGGTGCACTGAATGGAATGAAACCAAAACATGGCATAAATGTTTCTTATGAGGTGCTGATTAAGTGTTGCTACTTTGTTGCCGATTTACTGTTCAAGATGGCCACCAGGATTTTTTATTAAATTACAGGACCAATATTAAACCAAATTTGGCCTCACTCATTATTAGGGTATCTGTTATGATTTTAATCTATTTTTACATGATTTCCAAAACCAAAGTAGAATCAGGTGAGCGACACAGGCTCTTGAGAGCCTCTAGTTTTCTTTTTTTTCTTTACAATTTTCCATTTTAAATTGGTTATTTCTGATTTATATATAAAAGCAAATGATAATGAAATGGTTTGAATAGGTAAATTAAAAAAATTTAAGTTCTTAGACCACATTCATTCTGTGTCAGAAACCTATGCTGTGTCAAATATTTAATCACAATTCAAATTCAGTGCTGTATCAAGCTTGAATGTTGTGTCCATACTTGCCCCAACTGTTCTGGGTTCGACCTCTGCGGTCGTATAAGGCTGCGCCCATCGGAGCATTTGATTGTTTTTGTTAACACTTTCCAACATTTAATTTGTTAGTTCTTAGCCTGGAAGTGTAACTGTTTTAAACATGTCTTCTTTGAATCCTTATTCATTTTATGGTCGTACCATTTACCATTTCTTGAAAAATCATTTTATTTGATTTTATTTTGTGGAAGAAAAGGTAAAGAAAGTCATAAGTACTGATTTTGTGATCTGAAGTACACATTGAATATAAAGCAATGTTATTTATTCAGAAGAACAAAATTGTATGTCCCTGTTGTTTTTTTTTTGTTTTTTTTCGTTACTGTTTGTTTGAAGGCATTTATTTATGGATTATCGATTATTCATAAAAAGAAGAAGGCTTTCTTGGCATCAGAATGAGTCGTGGTGGAAAAAATTCCTCATCTTTCACAGACCGTTTGATAATCTGTTTATCACTATTCTCTGTGATGTTGGGTTAATGACATCATTACATTCTCAATTTTCTCAATTGAGAAAAACCCATCTTAGTCAAGGAGTTTGAGATTGAAAATTGTCGTGATTTTTGGTGTTTTAACGCCACTTTTATGCACCGCTTTTGGGCTATTTCGTGGCGTCCAGTTTTTATTGGTGGAGGAAGCCGGAGTGCCCGGAGAAAACCACCGACCTTCGATAGGAAAACTGACAATCCTAGTCAATTAAGATTGGAGTCGAGTGCACATATAAAAACATATATTTCATGGTCCTCTCACTAGTGGTTTTCTTGTACATGTACCATACAAAATTCTCAGAATGTAGTAACTAAATCTAGTTGTATTTTACTATTTCTGATAATATTTTAGCACAACGTGAACGTGTGACCAAACAGAACAGTACAACTAAATATGAAGGGGGAGAAGAAAAAGAACGACGACGGAACTCAAGTCTGAGTCCAGAAAATAGTGTAGAAAGTCCAGACCAAGATAATAATGAATTTATTGGACCTATTGAGGAGGAGTCTGATACAGACCATAGTGAATATGATTCTGATGAAGAAGGAGAAAAAACTGAAGGAAAAACTGAAACATATCGGGTAGAAAAGGTGAGTTGACTGAGAAGACTGAGCTGTTCTGTTTTATTTATCTGTATATTTTAACAGCTTCCTTTTATAATTAGACAGTTCAAATAAGTTATGAAGGGTAAGAAATTTATTTGTCAACAAGTTTTAAGTGTTCATCAAGACAATTGTTGTGATATTTGCAATTATTATGCACACATGACAAATCTTCGACAGCTACAGGTATCTGTACAAGAACATATCCAAATTAATATTTGCTGAGTTTGTTTTTATGTGTCGTTAAATATAAACAGAGATATAAAGGGGGTTCTCGTATACATCTGTTTATCTGTCTGTCCATCAAGCAGGCAATTGGTCTCTCACACTCTTGGCCTCAAGCACCATTTTACCAAATTGTTTGAAATGTCTTGAATCATTAAAGGAAAAGGAAACCAAATAATGATGTTATACAGAATAACATAAAAATGAAGTAAAATAAAAGTAATAAAATATTTCTCCCTGTTAAAAGAATACCAGAAAGCCATTCATTGGCAGCTGCCATATTTCTCATTCTTGTGGCATCACTACTTCTATTGCCCTTGCATCAGTACAGTATTATCACAACTCATATATTCAACAAGTTAAAAAAAAAACAACATTTACTGAGTTTTGATGGACAGAAAATAAGATAAATATGGGTTAAGTAATAAATTTTAACCAGAAGATTAGTCCGAGGAAATTAATTTATATTTCTGTAGCACAGTCATATGCTAATCAAATCCTAACTTTTTAATTTTTTGTGAATATATATTTAAATTTTAACTTTTTTTTTTACTGTAGGGTACAGCAGGTAGAGAAGCTGAAGCAGGATTAGAAATGTCAGAACTTGTTAATTACATACAGCCTGTTCATTTCCACTCATTTGATACGTCAGAAAGTGAGTAGACATTATAAATATTTAAAAAAAAATCTCATATCAATATCGAATGTACTATGAAAGTACATTTATGAATGGACAACAGTAGGTTTAGGATAAATTTGCTTTTACTTGTAGTTTCATATTTTGTAGAGTTATAAATCATTGAAAAATTGGAATATATGGCTGTTAGAGACATGAGGCATATGTCAATAAGACAGCAACCCAATGGCACAAATAACCAAAAGACATCTAGAGGTCAACATAAAGTCTTCGACAAAAGACGTGTATATACAACATGTATAGATCTAAATCGTCCTGAGTCTAAAATTAAAAGTTGTGAATTAATTCAACCAAAATGTTAAAAGATCCGCCATCAACATCAAATTATTAAAAAAAAAACATTAATATATGACGAGTCAACCACTGACAAGATTCCTGGCTTGGGACAGGCACATTTACGTGTCTGTCTTTGACTGGATTTTTGAGATCTCAACCCTCCTCCTTTTTAGCTCACCTGGCCCAAAGGGCCAAGTGAGCTTTTCTCATCACTTGGCTTCCGTCGTCGTCGTCTGTTGTCCGTTAACTTTTACAAAAATCTTCTCCTCTGAAACTACTGGGCCAAATTTAACCAAACTTGGCCACAATCATCATTGGGGTATCTAGTTTAAAAAATGTGTCCGGTGACCCGGCCAACCAACCAAGATTGCCACCATGGCTAAAAAAAGAAAATAGGGGTAAAATGTAGATTTTGGCTTATATCTCTGAAACCAAAGCATTTAGGGTAAATCTGACATAGATTAAACTGATTATCAGGTCAAGATCTATCTGCCCTGAAATTTTCAGACAAATCTGACAATCCGTTTTTGGGTTGCTGCCCCTGCATTGGTAATTTTAAGGAAATTTTGCAGTTTTTGGTTATTATCTTGAATATTATTATAGATAGAGATAAACTGTAAACAGCGATAATGTTCAGCAAAGTAAGATCTACAAATAAGTCGTCATGACCAAAATTGTCAGTCGACCCCTTTAGGAGTTATTGCCCTTTATAGTCAATTTTTAACAATTTTTCGTAATTTTTTGTAATCTTTTACAAAAATCTTCTCTGAAACTACTGAGACAAATTTAACCATACTTGGCCATAATCATTATTAGGGTATCTAGTTTAAAAAATTTGTCCGATGACCCCAACTTCCAACCATCATGGCCGACATGGTTAAAAATAGAACATAGGGGTAAAATGCAGTTTTTGGTTTATATCTCTGAAACTAAAGCATTTAGAGCAAATCTGACAGGTGGCAAAAATGTTCATCAGAATTAGATTTATCTGCCCTGAAATTTTCAAACGAATCTGACAACCTGTTGTTGGATTGCTGCCCCTGAGTTAGTAATTTTACAGAAATTTTGCAGTTTTTAGCTCACCTGGCCCACAGGGCCAAGTGAGCTTTTCTCATCACTTGGCGTCCGTCGTCCGTCGTCGTTAGCTTTTTACAAAAATCTTCTCCTCTGAAACCACTGGGCCAAATTTAATCAAACTTGGCCACAATCATCATTAGGGTATCTAGTTTAAAAAATGTGTCCGATGACCCCGCCAACCAACCAAGATGGCCGCCATGGCTAAAAATAGAACATAAGGGTAAAATGTAGATTTTGGCTTATATCTCTGAAACCAAAGCATTTAGAGTAAATATGACATGGGTAAAACTGATTATTAGGTCAAGATCTATCTGCCCTGAAATTTTCAGACAAATCTGACAACCTGTTGTTGGGTTGCTGCCCCTGAATTGGTAATTTTAAGGAAATTTTGCAGTTTTTGGTTATTATCTTGAATATTATTATAGATAGAGATGAACTGTAAACAGCAATAATGTTCAGCAAAGTAAGATCTACAAATAAGTTGTCATGACCAAAATTGTCAGTCGACCCCTTTAGGAGTTATTGCCCTTAATAGTCAATTTTTAACAATTTTTTGTAAATTTATGTAATCTTTTACAAAAATCTTCTTCTCTGAAACTACTGAGACAAATTTAACCATACCTTGCCATAATCATTATGAGGGTATCTAGTTTAAAAAATTTGTCCGATGACCCCGCCTTCCAACCATCATGGCCGACTTGGTTAAAAATAGAACATAGGGGTAAAATGCAGTTTTTGGTTTATATCTCTGAAACTAAAGCATTTAGAGCAAATCTGACAGGTGGCAAAAATGTTCATCAGATTTTGATTTATCTGCCCTGAAATTTTCAGACGAATCCGACAAACTGTTGTTGGGTTGCTGCCCCTGAGTTAGTAATTTTACAAAAATTTTGTAGTTTTTTGTTATTATCTTAGATATCATTATAATATCTAATATCTAATACTATTAATTATGATTTTAACCTTATTTTACATGATTTCCAAAGCATCAGTAAATACAGGTGAGCGACACAGGCTCTTGAGAGCCTCTAGTTTGTTATTATCTTAGATATCATTATAATATCTAATATCTAATACTATTAATTATGATTTTAACCTTATTTTACATGATTTCCAAAGCATCAGTAAATACAGGTGAGGGACACAGGCTCTTGAGAGCCTCTAGTTTTCTCTATCAGTGGGCTAAAAATGGTAAATAAATAAGCATACTACTACATTGTACATGTATAAAAATCAGTTCTTGGAAAGTGCTTCACACTATTATAAAAATCTTAAAGGTAACATGTCGTTTATATATTGAATATTTTCCTTCTTGTTTACTGTGTTTTTAGATGTTTTGTTCTGTTTATATGTGTGTTATTTCAAAACTATTTTTCCAGAGAAACAAAAGAGTTATGAGATATCATCATTTGTGGAAACTCAAGCCACCAGTTTACTGAAAGAAAACCCTGTAGAGTTTGTCAAGTATCCTTTTTACAGAACAAAGCTGTTGTTACAATGCATTTGAATCCATAGAAATATTTTTTTGCATTACAGAAAGAATACACAAGATGTTGAAATTTTGGGTATGCTGAGACAAACCTCTCTAAACTTTAAACTTAAAATCACAGAAAATCTGGTGTAACATATAAAGGCCTCTAAAAATAAATGTGATGAAAGATTGCTACTAATCATGTATCAATGCTGAATTTTCATTACTTGTTGCTATAAACAGTGATGGATGGAGTAATGCCATTTTCACTAACTGTGACCCTAAGAAAAAAAATTGTTTGCATCTTATTTAACAGTGACACCATTAATTTTAATCTGTGTTACTCACTTACTTCAACTTTTTACATAATTTGATAACAGAATCATTCAATAATTTTAATGATGATATTACCATCATCAGCACATCAGTTTGATTGTTGTAATGCTGATGTTTAGCATCAATACCACAATTGAGAATGTAATGCTGATGTTAACATCATTAACACAACCATTTGATAATTGTAATGCTGATGTTAACATTATTAAAAAACCATTTGATAATTGTAATGCTGATGTTAACATTATTAACACAACCTTTCGATAATTGTAATTAACATTATTAACAAAACCATTTGATAATTGTAATGCTGATGTTAACATTATTAAGACCACCATTTGATAATTGTAATGCTTATGTTAACATTATCAACACAATCATATGATAATTGTAAATGCTAATGTTAAAAAACAAGTATTTGATTAACAAGAATGATAATGTTGAGCATCCTTAAGGCAAACATTTGATAATAGTAATAAAATTATAAAAAAAGGCACCAACAAACTTGTTTAAAGGTACCTAACGGAAAATTGGATGCAGTACATTAATATATTAATTTATGTTCCATTCAAACATATATGGTACCCAGGGAAGGCACTTTGAAAATGGGTAACTGCCTATATAGGCAATTTTAGAATTTCTGACACTTATATTTTCACTGTTCAAAACATATTTGACACCCATTCATAGTTGAGATTTCCAAGTGCCTTCACTTGGTCACATGTATGTTTTAATGGAAGAGCCTTTATGAAAGTATTAGTTTTCCTTAACTGTGTGCTAGTTACAACAAACGTCAGTTAAGTAGAATTTATCCACGTGGAACAAGAGTAGACTCCAGTAACTTTTTACCTCAGGTAAGTTTGATATATGTTAGTACATGGACTTTAAAGCCTTGTTTTTGTTTTAAATGACATCATTTTAAGACAGTTACTCTGATAAGGTAAACAAATTAAAATCCTATTTCGATGGCAAAATGGTCTTGGTAAAAAAAAATCCAAGAAAATACCATAGAGACAGTTGAAGAAAAAAACAATATCATGGCCGAAAAGAAAGAAAATGAAAACAAACGTACATTTGTATTGAAATCACGGTACTGTAAACTAACTTATTTTGGCAGATAAGTATTTTGTGCTTATCCCTTTCTAGCTGACTTTGCAGCGATTTATATTCACAATTTTCTAATTTTTATGAAGTATTAACATAAGAGTACAGTTTTACATATTTTTGACGATTTATTTATGCGTTACTGTTCTAGTCTCCAAAATAAATTGATCATGAAATTAAGTTGGTTTTCTACTATTCAAAGATAACAGCACTAGATATGTTTTTAAACTTTTACAAGCAGTTGGATATGTATTTTGGAAAGAAAGAATCAAAGCATTCTGTAGCCACAAAATATTTACAATTAACACTTAACATTATGAAAATGACATGCAATTTCTATTTCATCTGTTTGTATTTTGCCAACATTACTCATTTGTGTTCTGTCTGAACGATTTTAGATCACATAAACCAAGATAAATTGACCATTTCAGATATTTTGGAATGCAGGTTGTCAAATGGTAGCCCTCAACTTCCAGACCTTAGGTATGTGTTTAGTGTAGCGTATGCATAGTAAAAATAAAACGAAAAAACAATTAACCTGAAACAGCTAGAAAAGAAATCTTTTCATCTCCATAGGCAGGAAACATAGTTTTATATTTTATTTTGTGTAATTTACGATACAAAAAACCTTTTTGAAACTATTTTGAAATTTTCTTCTCCAAATTTTGACTTTCAGTTTGGAATAAATCTGAGAGTGGAATGTTAGATATTTTAGTTTAGTATAAATTATCATAGACTGCAATTTTCTATACCTGCTTCTTGTTTGCATATACTTTAAATATTTCCTGTCGAATGAACTTAAAAATTTTGTCACATATTTCTCCAATACTGCTAAACAGAATGACTTAAAATTTGGTCAGCAACTCAACAGTGGTGATTGTAAGTGTGCAGTTTTAGAATCAACCACACACCTACTTCTTTTATTCAATACTTTCATTTACGAGTTGGGGTATGATTAACAGGACAATATATGCATTCTTGTTGTATAGTGGTATTGCACTATTTAGATGTGGGTAGAAAATTAATAGTTGTAAACCTGGTGATCTCGTTATTTGAAAAGAACTTATCATACAGTAAATTGGTACTGCATGAATATTGGTAATTATTATTCCTCATGGAATGTTTATTGAAAAAAAATATTGGACAGTTAAACATACCACACTGTCTTGTCAATAACAAAAGACAATGCCGAAAAAATCAAACATTGACAAACAACCACGAAAAACACAGTTTGTTATGGCACTATGTCACATGGTGTATTAGCACTGGCACATCTCATTTCCATGGAGATTATTTGGCCCGCCCCCTCAGTCATGGTCTATCGACTTTGAAACTTTTGCTTAGTTTACATGTTTTAGTTTGTGATAAGTTCAGTTTACGGGGAACCACTAGTGGTAGGTCAATGATATTTGGTATGCATATGTATTGGCATTGGCACATCTCATTTCCATGGAAATTGTTTGGCCCTGTACCTTCAGTCATGGTTCATTGACTTTGAATATTTTGCATATCATACATTTTAAAAGTATTGCTATTTTGATTTCAACAATTGCATTTTACTTTCAAAATAACAAAAAGGCGAGACTGAATCTCTGTGTCAACAGTTTATTTGTTCTTCTTTGATGAATGTATAAAAATATATCTTTTTACAGATTTAGCAATGCAATTGAACCAGGGAATATTTGAATACAATAATAGGTCAGGATATGTATTAAAACCAGATTTTATGAGACGAAATGATAGAAGGTTTGATCCATTTGCTGAATCCACTGTGGATGGTATTGTGGCTGGAACAGTTTATGTTAAGGTAAGTTTTAGATGTTAATGATATTGTATCAGGAACATTTTCTGTAAGGTAAATTTTAGATGGTGGATGATATTGAATAAGGAACAGCTTGTCTAAGGTCAATTTTAGATGTTGGAAGATATTGTAAGAGGAACAGTTTATGTTAAGGTAAATTTTAGATGTTGGATGATATTGTATTAGGAACAGTTTCTGTAAGGTAAATTTTCAGCTGTTGAATAATAGTTTCTGTAAAGATAATTTTTTGTTATCTTTTAGAGCTGTACTATTATTGTATGTTCAACAAAAGTTTGCATGTCAACTTTGTAAGGAAGTTTTAGTTATTGTCAGTTAGCCATCATTTGCTATAGAAATACAGTTGAAATGTAGAATTTATATTATTCCATAAAAAACAGTTTTCAAGTATTTTGTATTCAGATTGACCATCAGCCAACAGGATAAATTTTCATTTGATTTGCTGTATGCAAAGTCTGAAATATTTATTTCAAGAACACACAAACTAACCAATTTTATTTCAGATATAACAAAAAAAAATATATATAAATTTACAAGTTATTTTTGCACATATAAAGTATTGGGGAAAAATTGTAATTTAGTAGATATCTAATTACAAGATTTTGTCAAATCTCTGCATACAAGCCTTTAGAAAATTTGTATACATTGCTAATCGTTGAATATTTAATTCATGGAATAGCCATCATAGAAAATCCATGTAAAATTACACATATTCCACAAATAATAATGAATTTACTGTAAATGAAAATTTTCATTGTAGGTCATATCAGGTCAGATGTTATCAGACAAAAAGATAAATACATATGTAGAAGTAGATATGTATGGTTTACCTACAGATACTGTCAGGAAAAAATATAAAACAAAAACTGTCATGAATAACGGAATTAATCCTGTGTATGATGAAGACCCTTTTATATTTAAAAAAGTAAGTAAAAACATAGTTCACAGGTTAGATATTCTGACTTTTAAGACAGAAATGACTTCATCTTTTTATGCCCCACCTAGGGGTATTATGTTTTTCAGTCTGTGCATCCGTTCGTTCGTCCATCCGTCTGTCCACTTTCAGGTTAAAGTTTTTGATGAAGTTGAAGTCTTATCAACTTGAAACTTAGTACACAGTCATGTTCCCTATGATATTATCTTTCTAATTTTAATGCCAAATTAGTGTTTTGACCCCAATTTCACGGTCCACTGAACATAGAAAATGATAGTGCGAGTGGGGCATCTGTGTACTATGGACACATTCTTGTTTCCAAATTTTTTTTCTTTAAAATTTCTTTTGAAAAAAATTTTTTAATGAAAGAAAGTTGTATTGTTATTTTCTTAGATACATAAAATTTGCAGTGATAAAACTTTATAAAATCATTTACAATTGAGGAATGTTTCTCTTTCTTGCATACAAAAAATGTAGCTCTGACTCCTTGTCCAGGTTTTGCTATAATTTTGGTCCTGTTGTGTAATATCAACTCATAAACATTTGAATCAGGTTTTGAACTTCCAAAGATTTTGGTCTTGAGCATCACAGAACAGACATTATCTGTCGAAATGGGCAGCTGGTGATGTAAATTTGGTCCTGTTAACATTATTGAACAGAGTATTTTATACTGTCTATCTGAATACTCTAAAAAGCTTAATTCTGAGCTGTATATTTTTTCTTAATTTTCAGGTTGTCTTACCAAATTTAGCTGTGATACGTTTTGCCGTTTATGAAGAGAATGGAAAAATGTTGGGACACCGAGTGTTAACTGTACAAGGTTTAAGACCAGGTAGTCCCATTTTTGTGATTATTTCTGTGTAATCTGGAAAAAAACTACATTTTGCTGTCCTTTTTAGCAATTTAGAAACTATTAGAATGCTATTTAAAGTTAAAAGAAAAGTATCCCTAATGTGTTGAGTAACATTTGAAATGTATAAGTTTTTCTTGTCCGGTTGATTAATTCAAATATTTAAGGGAATGTTGCTTTTAATTTTGATATGCCTATAGATTGCAATAAACAATTAATTTCTCCATAGGCGACGATGATAGCCTTTTTCGAGATACAGACTTTAGAAAGTTAATTTTTTTAACGAAACCTTGCTAGAATTAAAGAAAATTTTCAGACAGTATTTTTTGGTCCAAAAAATATAGGTTCCTGTTGCTTTTCTTAACGTAATTTGTACTTGTCTCCCTTGCCTTTCAATTTTGCACTTAAAAACACATGTCTCATCCTAGCGTTGAAAAGAAATCTCAGTTCCGTTAGGGCTAAGGAAAAATTATTATTTTGCCCTTGGTATAATGAAGAGTGCACGAAGTCTCTAATAATAAAAAATAATGGGTGCGCATATCGACCAATCAGGATTAGCCATGCTTTTAATTCTGAATACCATGTTATCTTCATAAAATGGCTGCGCCCATAAAATCTAATAGTTGATTGTAACCAATAATAACAGAAACCTTCAAATCTAAAATACGTTTTCTAACCATTAGAGACAATAATGGCTTTTTTACATACTGATAATTGTTGTGATGAAAATTGCCTGGGAAACTCAGATAAAAATAAAAGTATGAAGGATTCTTAGGTTTATGACTTTTTGATAGCTAAACATTTTATTAAAATCAGAACATATTTAACCAACTGAGAGAAAATATAAAAAATTAATTGGGTTTCCTCTTTACATTAGTATAATTGCTATCAGAGATATTAATTTTTCCATTAGTGGGTCTAGCGAGCAATACAATACTAAACATTTTAATTAAGTATGTAAAAAAAATTTTTAACTGAATTTATTTGTTTTGCAGGTTACCGACATATACCACTTAGGAATGAGTTTAATTTACCATTGAATTTGCAAACATTATTCGTACATATTTGTGTGAAAGATTTTGTTCCTGATGATATGGAATGTAAGTTATTTCCCTTGATATCCGTACATAAGATATATTTGTTTTATTTGACTGTTTTTAGCTTGTTATTTTGGGGGGCCATTTTTGTCCATTCGGTCTGTCTGTTTATTTATCACAAAATAGGGTGAAAGCAAAGTCTTTCACATTGAGATGAAATGAATTTTGATGAAAAGACCTGTTTCCATGCGAAAAATTCAGTTTTTGATAAGGTTGATAGCAGATGTAAAGTATTTTGAATTCATGGAAGCTTGTGGAGCATTATAACTGGTACTTGGTATATTATTTGTTGCCCTGGCCATTCTTTGATTTACATATTATGACAGCGATAAACAAAAATTTCCATGCAAGAAGATTTCTTGCAGAAAGATCCCGTTAGATCACAAAAGATATGGTTTTTCAACAGTCATTGTGTTTTTCTGCTATTGACAGTTTCATTCATTAAGGCTCAAATTTAATAAAAAATTAGGAAAACATAATCATATTGAATAGCTAAATGTCATATCATTGGATGGAGAGTCTATACATGACACCTAGTGTCCCAGAATGTAGCCAATTATTCTCTAAAATCTTGAATTGTTTGTGAAATCCATTGAATTAGATTCTGTATATTGTCTATGAATGTACTGAGAAATGTTTTGACTGGTATTTTAGCCTTTGCAATGCGGATTACCAATCCTTTATCAAAGACACCGCCACCAATCACAAGGCTTAAATCCAAAAAAACCAATAGGACAAAAATGTTATCAAGATACCTAGATGATGACATTATAGTAAGTGATAGTATTCCTCCTCTTTCTCAATCTCACTACAGCATGTGTATGAAAGAGTCATTAAACTTTTGATGCAAATTTCCTTTATTTTCCTGTAAAATCTTTTGCATTACCTTTTTCTACATGATACTTTCTGACATTCAAGATACTGTGGATTCAATAATAATCGTGGGGTACCAATTTTCGTGGATTTTTTGGGTAGAGGAAAACAACGCATTAAGATGTTCAATGAAGTATTAATTTTATAGAAGCTTGTATGCAGCAGACCTTGGCAAATCCATGAAATCAAGTGTCCAGGAAAACATGACTTTTCCTCAGTCCCTGAACATTGGTACCCATGAATCCACAGTACATCATATATCTGAATTTGGAATGAGCATGAAAATCTTATTTTCAATTTTTACAGTACTGGCAGCAGCTTTAATAAATCCTATTGCTTACTTGTCAGAACTCGATAGACATACTAAACAACTGGCGATATTTGAATTGGACGAGGTAGGTTATCACATGATCTGTTATATTGAAATGAATAAATTTGAATAATGTATATTTGGGAAATTTTCGTGTGTGACAAATTTTCACTTTTTTTTTTTGAAGACAACTTGCAGCAAAATTTATCTAACACAAATATTTCCTCACTATCCATTTAACTGCATTGTACAAAAGCTCTGAACACAGCAAAATTTTGACTGGCCCTTTGAAGGCCCTGAAAGGAAAACAAAACCAGATTTGAAAATATATAGATATATGGTATTGTATTCTATGTTATATTGTTTCTTTATTCACTATGGTATTTACTAATAGTATTTAAAATTCATCGATTTCTTACTACAGTTGAATACTTTCAAATTTTGTATTGCTAGTCAATTGTAATGTAATTATATACTCTAACATATACACCTGATGTACAGATCTGTACTGGTACACACTTTCATATAAGTTAAGTTGTATCATTATCTGTAAGTGTGCCTTCTCTTGTTTGAGCATGTTCAAAATCATCTGAAATGAGAATTGAAACTTGCTTCACAGAATCATGACCTGCGTACTCAAATAATAAAATTTGATACCTAATTGTAAGGTAGTTTTAAATATTTGAATGAGTTCCATTTGACATGTACAGGATAAATTTGTGGTCCACTTCAATGACAGATTGTGAAAAAAATTCTAAACAGTTTTTGGATATCTTGTCAAAACCATAACTCTCTGTGTACTGAAATAATGTAGAATTTAGTATTTAACTTCCTATGGGTACACAAGTACGGAATTTGTGGATATAAATTCTTATATTAAAGTAATACAATTAAATTTATGTAGAACAAGAACTGTAGTTAATAAGATGTGTATAAATATTGAATAGGGGTCAAATGATGAAGAAAAAGAAGAAGTTGTAAAGTCAAATGGAAATGCCTCGTCACCAACCAAAGTCGTCACAAATTCTAGCCCTGTTAAAAAAGAACCAACAGCAAAACGTATCAGTGGTGGTGAACATCAGCAAGTGTCAACCAAAATCAGTATAAACAGTGAGGGAAGTACAGGTACCAGTATATTTTGTTATGTTTAAGGCTGCACCTAATTTGTTTTCAATTTGAAAAAAAACAATTTTGCATGTTATTATTAAAAAAAAAAAATTTATGAGAACTTTTTTTTTTCAAATTGGCTGAATTCTTTACTTATTTTTTAGTACTGTATGAAAAAGTCATTGAAATAATTAAGTGAAGAATATTACCTTATGAGACTTATATTTTCAAAATGGGAGATTTACCTCGGATAACAAATTTTTAGTACGAGATTTGCTTTAGGACCTATTTGACATTGTTTTATTTAATATATTTTCTTTTTGTTTTCAAACAGCAGATCAAGTTTTTATTTTTTTTTCTGAAATGTTTTAAATTTTAAGGTTGATTGCTAAGCCTAAAGATAGTCCAAAGCAACCATTTAAAATGTAAAAATAATCCAGCTTTACGTTGTTACTGATCATTTGACTCTCTTTATTATAACCAAATAGAAAAATTGAGTTTTTGCTTGCTGTGTCATCATGTTCTGTTTTCTCAGTTTCCTATGGAAGCAGTAGGTAGCTACAGTCAGATAGTACAATAGTAATTCTGAATAATCAAGTTTTTTGATATCCCCATTATTCTTTTTTCCAATGAACATACTGAGATCATATCTGATATTCAGATCTAAAAGATTGTGTGGTAAGCCCTAACAATAGTATTCCTTGTTTTCCAGGAAGAGAAGGTGTCACAATACATCAAATGACCAGCATAAACAGTGAGAATGGATTGCAGTTCAAATGTAAACTCAATGGTAAGTCTTTTGTTGTCTTTACGTGCAATGCATTGCGGGGGACATAGAAATACCGGGCGTCCGTCTGTCTGTCTGGTCTTGTTAGCGCTCTCACTAGTACAATTCTTGCCAGATTTTTGTGAATCTTATATCATAGGTTTATATCAGCAATGTCTTTGACGACTTCAAAAATCAGTGCCGATCAAATATTTTTAAAAGAGTTATGCTCTTGGAAATATTAATTATATGGAAAATTGCCTTGCGAGCACTCTCATGTGTACAAGTCTCGCCAGATTTTTACGAAATTTATATTATAGGTTTATATCATCAATTCAAGGAAATGAATATGTTAACAAGGATGATGAAGAAGAGAAAATCTGAAAGCTAAATGCAATATACTAAAAGGATATTCAAACTCATATGCAGTATTGGTTTTGCTCATTGTTGAAGGCAGTGCGGTGACGTATCATTAATTTCTGTGTCATTTGGTCTCTTGTGGAGAGTTGTCTCATTGGCAATCATACCATACCTTCTTATTTCTATATCATAAGTCGAAGACAAACAACCATCTACAAAACACAACATAGAACACTAAAGACAGAGCAACACCAACCCCACCAAAAAACAGGGGTGATCTCAGGTGCTTCCAAATGTGCTAATTGTAACCATCAGAATATTATTTCAATATTTGTATGTCTTTTTGTGTTTCATCTATCGGTTCAATGTTACAGATCCATCCATAATAGAGCCTACTTCTATAGAAAAACTCAAGACATTAAAGCCTTACCTGAAAATCACAGCCAAGCGAGATAAAGAACTGGAGACATTAAATCGTAAAAATGAAAAGGTTAGTACCACAACATATCATTTTTATAGTGCAAGTGGAAATACAGGATTTCATGTATAGAGAAGAAAATTTAAAAAAAATTTACTGGATGCAGCTATTATCAAAAGATCAGTTTTTTTTGTCTTACAAGATTTTAAGTTATAATAATTGAAAATGAATTTAAGAAGCAGAATTTATCTGACTGTATTAGAATTTGAACCTATTTTAAATGTTATAAATGGTTGTAATAATTGGACAGGTTATGACTCATGGAAGTCTAAAAGATAAATTTATCTTTTTATACAATTAATAATCTTAATTATCCAATTTTCAAATATCATACTTTGAACACAGAAGTTATTTTTCAAAGATATGTTTTTTACATGAAAAATGCATAAAATTTAATAAATGCATGAGGAAAAATGTAAAATGCTGCAAATGGCACAGGATATTTTTTTTCTTCTAAAAATGAAAACCCCAAATACCCATAGGATATTGTATCACTTAAATATGAAAGTACTGTGTATTTATAATGTAAAATTTGTATCATAACATGTATATATAAGTTGTGACTTTGTTGATCTTGGAACTATTACTACTGGCATGATGCCTGGATTATTGGAGCAGAGGTAAATATCCTATGTAAACCTGAGATGACGTGAGTAAATATTGTGGATTCATTTATTTTAGTAGGTACCAATTTTCGTGGATTGAGGAAAACTTGCATTTTCGTGGATATTTGATTTCTTGGTTTTTCAAAAGTCTGCATAAAACACTATAAGAAATTTGTTATTCGTTGAAGATTTTATTTCGTGTTCACCTGTAATAATGAAATCCACAAAAATTGGTATCCCACGAATAATATTGAAACCGCAGTAGATGAGTTTTATGAATGATGTCAATCCTATATTTTCTTTGATATTTTTCCATTGGTAATCTTTTAACCATTGATTTTGAAGATATCTAGGGTCTTTAGTGTAAGTTTTATGAACTTACATGCAGATGTTTGGAGTCAAAACTGAGCAGTCTCATTGGTCTGTGGCTAGCAAACTTTTTGCAGAGCCCGATGTAAGGAGAAAAAAATTTTTAAATTGGAGTACTGCCCCAAATCAAAAGTATTCCCTTATCCTTTAAATTTATTATTGAATTGAAATTTGAACACAGTACCACAATTTTATTGTCATTTTAAGCATGAGAGAGTCGTGCAGTTGCCAAAAAAACAAAATTCCAAAAAAACAGACACATTTTTACGTACAGTTCCTACCTAATTTAAATCATTAGTTTAAGAGAAAGAAAAAGATGTATTTTTGTGTGATCTTATCGGTGTCCCATATTAAAATTAGAATAATAGCCATTATAGTTCACACTTTTCATACATTGGATATGGTATAACTTTTTTTTCAATACTAATCTAATAACTGCTAAAAAATTTAGTTTGACAAATGATGATGAAAAATTGGCTTAATATGATACTAGCAATGGTGAAAAGAGTGTTTAATTCCTGAAAATATAGGACACTCCATTTTAGTCATTTTCTATGCCTTTGAAACCTGGTGGGTGGGGGAGGGATTAAAAAGGGAATATAATCATGAAAAGCATATTATTTACAGGCCAGGCAAAACTTGAAAGAAATACACGAGTTACAAGAGGAGCGATTAATGATATCACAGGTTAAAGCTAAGGATACTATGGAAAAATCTCATGCCAAGTCTGTAAAGAAGGCATTACGACGTGGCACTTCTGTGGACGAAGCAGAAACTAGTAATCGTTTACAGTATGGTAAACTTGTTCAAGAACATAATTATAAGGTAAACTTTGTAACGACCTTTAGAGGAGGAGTATGAAGGTCGTTGCTATATATATAATATATATATATGTATAAGTAGTTATATGCATGTGGAATTGAATTTGTTTTGTTTTCTTTTACAGCGTAAAGGCAAGGTAATGACCCAGAGGTTCTACGGTGATAGCTTTCTAAATTTGATCTTTGACCTGATTTTTGATTGGCTTTTTTTAGCAAATAAACCTATATTTAGCTTGACGATTTTTATCCTACTGCAGCAGATATAACAGTTGATTATAACCTTTCAAGGATTTCCTCATGAATTTAGATTGGTGCATACTTAGTTGTTATCAGTAGTGATAAAATGAAATGGATGATACACCATATTGATAAGTTGTTTTAAACTCGAAGTATAGACATGAATGAAAATCAAAAATTTTAAGCACAAATGTAAGGGAAAAATGTGACCTTTTACAGCCCTTATTGTACACAGTCATGGGTTTAAAACTAAATGTGTTTTCAATAGAAATTTGGAGGGTCACTGATGAGTCAAAATTATACTTTAGGGATATACATGTCAAATTTCACAATAAAATCAATCGTACTGACACTTTGTAAAAAAGAGACGGAAGATACCAAAGGGACAACCAAAACTAACATTTGAATGACAGGTATACAGTTATAGTCTATGCTATTTCATATTCATTATGTCGAATAGATATGCACAATCTAGTTCATGAAAGGGAATCATATAGAGTTTACTCAGAATGTAAAATTATCATCCAAGATATTGTATAGTATATCTATTCTGTTCTTTAGTATATACTATCTATCCATTATACCCCCTGCTTTTTAATTCAGTATTCAATGGTTTATTACAATTTTTTGTATGCTTGAAATTTGTGAGTATTTGACACAGAATACTGATGGACTTCTTTTTTTCATTTTTCGGAATGCAGGCAACAGATAATTTCAATTCTTTGAATGCAGCAGACAGATCTTTTCGATTCTTTGAATGCAGCAGACAGAATTTTTCATTTCTTTGAATGAAGCTGACAGATTTTTCTATTTTTTGAATGTAGCAAAAATATTCTTTCATTTTTTGTCTTCTGTATGCATCATATAAAAGAATGTCTTGCATGCATATGTATTTTGATTTTTTAATTGAAATTATTTGATTGAAAAAAGAAAGCAAGACAAAAATATTTTTAAGAGAATGAGAAATAAAAACAATGAGCCAAATTGAAATTGAAACTGTTACAAAAAAATGCTTGCTTTGATATAACATGGGTTTTGTGCTGCCCTAATTTGTGTCAGCAATAAGTTTTATGAAAAAAAAGCATAAAGTAGACAGTATTAAACTCATATGAAACTTCAAATTTAAAAAAAAAAGTTGAATATGTTTTATATACTTGAATAGCTAAGTCTTACTATAAAACAAGTGTACATGAACTTTCTTGTACATATCATTAAAATTTTCCTAAATGTACTGCTATGGAATTATTGTCTTCCTGTACACTAATTCGCCAATATTTTTCCGTATACGTATTAACTGCGAGACCTGAAAACAAACGTGCACTGGAAGGTAAATAGAAATAACTGATTCTGAAAGAACAAATTTAGTACAAAAAACCATTTAACAACTGTTAAGGAAAAGTTTAATTAACAAATGGAAAATTAAAAAAAAATAAAAAGTATGGCTCTATCACTTCATTTATTTGTCATAAGCTCTACATGCTCTGTGTTGATTATTTATCAATGTCACGATTCGGTAAACTTCGTCAACAATCTCAAAAGTTAATTAGCTTGCGATCAACATCAGTTAACAAAATATTATATGTCGATAATATGTTATAGATTAGTAATACATTGTAAATATATAAAAACGTGCATACAGGCTTCGTTAAGTATATATGCATGCATTGGTTCAATAATTTCAATAACCTTGTTTCATATGACTTTAAATTAAGCCAACATTCTCTACATTATCTTATGCAATGATAAGGTTAGCTTCAAACAATTGTTTAAAAAGTTCTAGCATAAAATTGAATTGAATTTACCATTACAAGAAGACTTGTTAACACATGTATGGTTTGGGTTGTAATAGATATGAGGAGATATCAATGATACATTTTATTTCATCATTTGGGGGGGGGGGGGGCAATGGCCCAGTGGTCTCAGTAGTTGAACTACTGTATCACTGGCCTGTCAACACTTGAGGTTGTGAGTTCAAATCACAAAAGTGGCAGGTGAGCTCAACTTCAAATCTTAATTGACTAGGATTATCAGTTTTCCTACTAAAGTTTGGTGGTACTCCTCTGCCCTATGGCTTCCTCTGCCAATAAAAATTGACTGCCACGAAAAAGCACAATAGTGCTGAAAGCGGTGTTAAACACCATCAATCAATCAATATTTCATCGTTTTATTCCGACAGAAATATGTTTAAATACTTATACTTCTAATTGTAAAAAGAATACACATGAAGATCTGAAAAAGGTTTAAAAGTGCGCCTATCCTTAATTTCCAAACTAACAGGAATTTTGAGCAGATTAAGACAACGATGTCATACTAGTATTCCATTTTGTTGCGAATTTGTTATGGGGGTTCTTGTAATGATGATTACAGCTTCTAGTGATAAAAAGAAATAAAGATGGTTCTACTGTAAATTATAGGATGAAAACAATGTTTAGAAATTGTCAACAAATAAATACCTTATTTAAACAGTTAGAAAACAGGAAACAGATTTTGGTTTAAAGATTATTTTCAAAAGCTCATACAAACAAATTTGATATTTTCTGACACAAATCACCATACTTTATTGTATACTATCTTTCTGCCGCATATTTATATATATATATATATATATATATATATATATATGTATACTATATAAGTTTGTAAATTGTAAATATATAACCAAACTTATTCTTGTCAACCAGTTTTCTTGTAAGTCTTTAGTTTTATTTTGATTTTATGAAAACATGTCTTAAAAAATATCAGGCATTGCAACCATAACTGTCAACTTCTGTAGATTAATGGTAGAATTGAAAAAAAACCCAATTTGATTCACCAGATTGGTTTGATTCTATTATATAAAAAAAACGCGAAAAAACTTATAAATGATAAAAAAAAGTATGGAAATGCGATGGGACCACCATCACAACATTAAGTTGGAGAGAGAAGAAAACAATGATCAAAAGAAAAACAATAGTAGGAACTGACAAAACACTAGCATATCAAACACTACACAGAAAACTAAAGATTGAGAATATCAACCCTAAAAAAATCAGGTGCTCTGGAAGGGTAAGCACTGGATATGCTACAGGTAAAATTTAGGTGCTCTGGAAGGGTAAGCACTGGATATGCTACAGGTAAAACTTAGGTGCTCTGGAAGGGTAAGCACTGGATCTGCTTCAGGTAAAACTCAGGTGCTCTGGAAGGGTAAGCACTGGATAGGCTACAGGTATAACTCAGGTGCTCTGGAAGGGTAAGCAGTGGAACTGCTTCAGTTAAAACTCAGGTGCTCTGGAAGGGTAAGCACTGGATCTGCTACAGGTAAAACTCAGGTAATCTGGAAGGGTAAGCACTGGATTGGCTACAGGTAAAACTCAGGTGCTCTGGAAGGGTAAGCACTCTATCTGCTACAGGTAAAATTGAAATTGATATGACTTGTATTAGATTTGATATAAAAAAGGTGAAATTAAGTTATTCAGTAGTGATATTTAGTTTCTCCCTGAGGTAAAGTAAAATTATACAGTAGTGATATTTAGTTTCTCCCTGAGGTTAAGTAAAATTATACAGTAGTGATATTTAGTTTCACCCTGATGTAGGTGTTCACTTTTGCTGTGTCTACTAGTGTATAGAACCAGAGCTTATACTAACATATATTTATTTAAACACAGGTTATATAACTTATAGATTGTATAAAGTTTTTGTTGGTTTGTTCTAAAAACTGTAATTGTGACTGTGAAAGTATAATGTTCAGTTGCTGTGTTAAAACTAATTCCTGAGATCAATGAAACTATGCACAGACATTATAAGAGTGTCTGGATGGGAGGTCCTTCATTTCTGTATTCTTTAATTTTTCAGGCCATTTTTCTTTATTCTTTATACTTTTTGCCCATTATTCTCTATTCTTTATTTTTTTGGTCCATTTTTCTCTATTCTGTATATTTTTGCCCACTATTCTCTATTCTGTAAACCCCCATCCACACTCTCTTACAACATTGTAGTAATTTCTGTATAATGATGCAATCCTGTGCTTCGTGGCTAGTCATTGTTTAGTTATTCATATTTAATCTGGGATTCATAGAGAGAATCTGTCATTTTTAATACGCATTTTATGTTTTTTTCCATTATTGTGTAAACAATTCTGGCAAAGTATAAAGAAAATAGCCAGAAAACAAAATAAACTATTTTCTTGGTCTGAGAAATTAGGGTGGGCTAGAATAAGGAACCAGTAATTTTTTTATAACCTTATATTTTATATACATTGTGATATGAAATAGTTGATATACTTTTGTTATTTTGTTTTTCTGAACAGCATAAAGAATTAAAACAGACACAAGGAGAATTGTTTGTAGATATGTGTAAAGACCAGTTCAAAGCCGAGTTAGACATTCATTTGAAATATCATTCACCTATCTATGACACATTGAAGATGCTTTTAGATATTAACCATAAAAATCATGTGGAGCAGATCATTGAAACATTTGAAATGGATTCTGATGAACTGAAGAAAGAAATGGAAACCAGGAGTAAATTAGAAATGAAAAGATTAGCCAAGACCATCAAGGACAAAAATGAATTGTCAAGGTTAGTATATATAAAAGTTTAAATCATAAGTGGATAAATGTCTTAATCTTTTTTTTAATGTTAAAAGGGTTTTTTATACGACCGCGAAAAATTTTGCGGTCGTATATTGGTATCACGTCGTCGTCGTCAGTGTCATCCAAAGACATTTGGTTTCTGGACAATAACTTTAGTAAATGTAAATAGAAAACTATGAAATTTAAACACAAGGTTTATAACCACAGAAGGAAGGTTGGGATTGATTTTGGGGGTTATAGATCTTACATTTTAGGAATTAGGGGCCAAAAAGGGGCCCAAATAAGCATTTTTCTAGTTTCCAGACAATAACTTGTGGAAAGGTGTATGGATCTCTCTGAAAACACATGTTTCCATACCACAAAGGGAATATGCACATAGACCAAGGTGAGCGACACCAACTCTTTAGAGTCTCTAGTTTATATGCCATTAGGACAGTGTCTATTGTTGAATATGCACATAGACCAAGGTGAGCGACACCAACTCTTTAGAGTCCCTAGTTTATATACCATTATGACCAAGAGAAATCTTTATAAACATGTTTAAAGTAAGATATCTGTTTATTGTTTTTTAATATTTGAAATATGGCTTCCATAATGAGAAACTAACAACTAGTACATTTTTATATATGAGAATTTATTACTGTAATAATTGTATCTTAAAACATGACAATATAAGTTTGATTTATTTTTCAACAGAACAAAAAGAGAAGCTCAAACAAAACACATAAAAATGGTTGTTAATGAAATAGAAAAGGTAAGAATATATTGAATCAAATTTTCTTGGATTTATTTCCGAGCATTTATCCATTTACTGGTAAAAACTGAAAAATGGCATTAGACATGTACTTGTAAAGTATAATTGTATGTAATTTACCTATTTTCATGGATCCTTGTTTTTTTCTGCTATGAAATTCTGTACCCTTTTCCGTTGAGTCTGAATGTGTGGTCTTAAAACTAAAAATAAGTAACCTACAAAGCAATTGTGTTTTAACAAACCATGAAAATTCATATCCATGAAGAGAAACTCTTCCTCAGTATTTGTTAAGGGTTATAGTTTCAAATATCACTGGTAGTTACTCTACTTGTCGAATACACTGGTCTCCTCTTTGCTTATATCAAGTAAAATAAGAACATTCCTTAATTAACCTTATTTTAACCCTTACCATGCGGTGACCATAATATTGTAAATACCGTGATCACCTATCTTAGCTTTAATGGAATCAATATGCATCAGCAGCAGGATAAAGCTCATTTGCATGTAATTTGCATATTTTTGCAAATAAACGAAAATTAGACATTTTCTGAAAATATTATAACATGGTAAGAGTTAACATTCTTTGTTTGAAAAAAAATGCATGCATACAAATGAAGGTGTCAAAATTTAAATCAATCCCTCTGCAGTTTTTTGCAATAATTTACTGGATTTCATCACCAAAATTTAGTTCCTAACATCAGGCTTAAGCATGTCTTGTCCTGTAAACAAAGTAATGACTATTTACAGTAGCCTTTCATAAATGGCATTGGTCATTTTTGATGTTATGAAATGATCGAAACATAATTAAGTTAACAAGACATTAATAGAACAAGTCGAGGGAAATAAGTTACTAAAAAAGGTACAATCGAAAACTTTTTCTACTTTTTGTAACTTCCTGTTAACTTATTATTTGAAAACTCTTGTTTGGTAAAAAAAACAAAATGGTTGGCATGCTTGATAATTGTTTGTTGGCATTATTTTTTTCAGTTGAAAGAAATATTAAATTCGAAGCAAGAAGAATTAACACCAATCTTAGGCAGAGTTAGACAAGAATTAGAAAGGGAAAAAGAAGAGGTATGTTGAATGGGCTGTGTATAAAGGTGTTTGTAGGAAAATGCTGAATCAAAAATACTAAGGCCATCTATGGGGAAAATTTAAAAATCTCTTAATCATAGCTTCTGACCAAGTTTGTAAAATATTATAAAGGCTTGACAAAGTTATTCATGTCTAAAACTTTAAACTCAGGCTGTATCTAAAGTTAACTGCAATTAAAATCTACGATCATTTACCAGTAAAATATGGAATATTAAACAAATATTTTCAACATTTTGGCGTATTAAATGATAAGCGTGGTATCCTTCTTGAGTTGTTATTTTATGTATTTTTGCTGCTTACAAATGTTTCTGAAGATAATTTTACACAAGTATTCTAAAAGGTTCATAGACATTTTGTTATGAATTTGTTATGATTTGCACAGACCTTCATGGGCTGTTACATAACATTGGACAAAAGCTTCTTCATGCTCAAGTAATAGCATCTGACTTTCCATTTGGCAGTCAACAATACATTTTTAGATTGACAGCAGGAATTGCAGGCGAGGAATGGTTTACCATTTTTTTATGCCCCTGCTGTAGGCAAAAGAGGCATAAGTATTACCCTTGACTGTCTTTCCCTCCATCCGTCTTTCTGTCTGTCCGTTCTTTCCATTTTTGTTTCTGTACTTTAAGTTTGTCTCGTACAAATTTTATGAAACTCATACACAATGCTAAGAATCAAAACTAGCAGACAGAGTTTGAATTTAGGCAGTGAGTCACTTACCGTTCTAGAGTTATGCCCATTTATAACTTGGAAAATTGCAAAGCTTGAGTGGGGGCATTAGTGTACACAGACACATTCTTATTTTAACAAGGTTTCATAAATATCAATAGAGACTCATTGTTTTAATTTCAGATGCGTAAATGTTTACAAGAACAGTATGAAGAGAAATGTCGAAGATTAACGGAACAGTTCCGTGATGTTGGTTTTGCCAAAGAATCAGAGAATACACCTTTATAAAACATTCCGTTCACTTTTCTACATTCCTGTCATACTATATGCATGTCATAACCATGACAACAATCATGTGACATAGGTACCTGATCTCATGTTAACCTACAAATAACTGTTTTTTAATGTGTTGTAAAATAGATGGAACCATGTGATAAACATTCTAACCATGTGACCTATTATGTAATTAGCAACTTTTTTTTGTAATGGTTATAAAAGTATGTACTATTACCATGGTAACCATTGCTTCTGTGTGATACAACAAAAACGTGATAAAATGGCATATGTCACAATGAATACAATGGTCAGTGGATTTTTCAGTTAAAATTGCTATAAAGGTCACCTTTATTAAGCGGAAACTGTCATGTCATTTCACCCTCTTCTTGTCACGCTGTAGTAATACCTATGCATGTTGAACCTCTATTCGAAGTTCACCTCTCTTATAAGGTCAGTTTTCTCTGATCCTGAGGGCGACTGTTATATGCATCTTTGCCCTCTATGATTTAGAAGTAGAGGTAGATTTCTTACTTGAAAAAGTGTAATGTCTTAAATACAGAACATTTTGATGATGAAAAAAGTTAAAGAGCTTTGCATGTTATAAATTTGAAGTTTATTTGAAAATATTAAAAATCTACATAAAAAAGGCAAGAAATGCCCTGAACTAATGTATGTCTTGAAAAATTCTTGAATACATGATAATGAGAACTTGCCAATCATTGCAACTTTCATTTTTCTTTAAGAAGCACTGCACTTGTAAAAAACTAACTTTCATGATTGTTGATTTTCCAACTTGACCTTAATTTTGTTTTTATAAGAAATTTGTATGTATACTATTTTATACACTAGTGTGTTAACTTGGCTGTGAAATTGAGTTTTATATCATGGAGCATTACCATTTCTATGTTTTTCTGTGATATCATAGTTTTCAATAGATCTGTTTCAGTGTGTGTATTGACCTTTATCTGACTGTTTGAAGATGAAAACATTAATGACAAGTCCATACTGAGCTTCTTGAACAGTTATCATGACTTTTTGATGTAAATAATTTTTGTCTGTAAAAAAAATTTCAGCAGTTCTCATTCTAGGCAGCTGGCCCACGTAAGGTTAGGGGTTAGTAAACTTCAGTAAACATTTACTTACTTCTTGAGAAAACTCTGATAAACTTTATACCTTATGCATTTATCCAATTGCCAAATGTATAAGGTATGAATTTTCATTTTTAAATTAAACATTTATGGAAATATTCAAGGAAAAAAATAGTTATTTTAGTAGCTATATCTGCATTATTATAAGATTTGGTATATTGTGAAAATGAGGGGGTGTGTGTTACAGGGGTGCTCTTTTTTTTTCTTTTTCTTTTTCCGAGATCCAATTTTTTTACCCCTTATATCTGACATCCCCCTTTTTTACCCCTATATCCCACATCCCAAAAACATGTCATCCCCCTTGAAAATATTCAGTGACCAGAATAGTTGTTTTAACATTACATTGAACAACATATAATTTTTTTAAACATTGCATTAGGAAAAGATTCAGGGACAAATATAATGCAATAAATAGTTTTTGGAAAAAATGATACATTACAATAAATAAATTAGTTTGTATTTAAAATAGATTATTAATATGTTCGTTGACCAATGTAGTTATATCACATAATTTTGTGTATAGGAAACTTATATTCCATTTCAAATGTAACCAAAATGTGATGTGCAGTATTTCAAGTTATTGCACCAGTGCAAAAATAGCTTGAAAAGGGTCCTGTTAAATGTAGAAGTTTCTGTCATTTTAAAAGTTTTGCCATATAGATAAAGGTTTGTTGCAAGAATATTGGCAAATATTACCTGTAGTACGATATTTATTGCACCTTGGAGTTTGTGCAAAAAGATATTCCACTTAGGACAAAATTAACCAATATTAGTGCAATAATTATATATTATTATTAGTAAAATGATACATTATAGAAATATTCAGTAAGAATTAGTTTGTATTTGTGTTATAATGTAAAGATGTTTGTATTCCATGTTAAAATTTATACTTTTCTACTTCCCGTGTTTAATGTTGAACATTCTGTCTCTATGCACTTTTATGTGAAAGTCTTCAAAATCTTTTGTTGTACTACAAAAAATTAATTAAATACAAAATAAATTGACAGTAAGAGTGGAGTAATGTTTATCAATTTGTTTCCAGATGTTTAAAAGTGAGAGCAAATTTATCAATTTTAACAAATTGAAACATAATCTTACATGCAAAAGTACTATGTATATTTAGATATTCTAAAAAAAAAAAATGCAACATCTGAAAGTGCCATCATTGAAATAAATTGTTTCTTGTGTCAATACAATTAGGGCTTTAATGGTCACATTTTAAGTAATGTAATCAGATAAGTATTGAGAATGACACTGTAGACCCTCATTTCTCCTGATGGACATGTGCTCATAGTTATAAAATGTTCATGATCCAACCCTAGTAAAACTATAATGATTCTTATCTAGTTACGTTGTTCTACATACGGAACATTGTACGATTTATTCAGAAAATACTGGCGCCAGTTTGATTATACTCATGTTTTTATTAAATGTTTGATGGTGCTCCGATCGTGTGATAAAAATAAGAATATTTCCTACCTTTTGTATTGGTTGTTTATATGATCTGATGCAATCTGTATATTGTTGTAAGTGTTTTATTTTTTGGTTTATTATTAATATATTGTTATCCCGGAGTAGTTGCTTCTCATTATAGGATGAAAAACTTGATTTGATAGATAATAAATGATGCATGTTTGTTACCTTAAAAAATAATTTTAATGTTTGGCAATCCTACTAATTAGCTGGAAACTTATTAAAATCTCATATTCGGTCATAATATTCTCTAATTGTGAGCGATACAGAAAATCTAGACATGCTCACCTTCATCATTGACTTTATAGAAACATTTTTTTTTTCTTCAAAAAACCATTTAAAATGCAGAAAATCAGTTGCGATTAATAAACAGGTTCCGTCATATGCCTGATACACTACTCTATATGCCCCCTGTCATGGTATATTTGCAAAATAATGATAAAATTGACATTAATCAACTTAGATTTGCTGTTGTTGGGAAGAAAATCAATTTTTAACAGAGTAGCAATAGAGTTGAAATCGTCAAAAGAGATGATTGCATTGCTAAATAGTTTCCATTTCCATCCTATAAAACTGTTTATTTTTGACCTAATGATTATTTGTGATAACTTAATACTGTAAATTCAGAAATTATTGCTTTCATTTATTATTGCGATTTTTGAAAAATTAACAAAAATGCGAGTTTAACTATTGCGAATTTTGGAAAAGCTACATACAGATATATGTATTTGATATCAAAATGCGAGTTTTTATTATTGCGATACTCAAGTAGTTGCATTATTCGCATTAATAAAAACCTCGCAATAATATCTGAATTTACAGTATTTGCAGATAAGACATGAAAATGGGGCTGTGATAAAAAAAAAATGTAAAAATCAAGTTTTTCATCTTCCATTAAAATTAAGTCATTCACCATGCATTATGTTAAAGTGCTATTTATGTATAGAACAAACCAGATGTATTGCAATATTAATATCTATATATATATATAATCCGTCAAATCATTGATTAATATAGTAATCCGTCACTTATTATAATGTTTAATTTTAAAATAATCTTTTTTATACATTTATTAAAACTGCCTTATTGTAAAATAATAAAACTTAATACATATAGATACTATATTTGAATTAATAAATAATACATTGTTTGAACCATTCCACTCGTTAAAATGTTCACATCTTTACAAACGTTTTGCACAGTTGAATTCTTTCTACATATTCTTCTAGTTAAGCATAATTAATTCTGTGGTATAAAATTTGGACTGTATGAAGATGGAAGTTTGAAATATCGCAAATCATGTAGGTTAATTATATATCTCTATGAAATTAATGATTTCAGGAGTGTAAAGTTCAGGTCTCAAAATAGCAGTAATCAGGGTGTTACATTTTAACTGATTTACATGTATGAAATTTTAATGAGGAATTTTAATGCCCCACCTAGGGGCATTATGTTTTTCGGTCTGTGCATCCATTTGTTCGTCCTTTCGTTGGTCTGTCCCGCTTCAGGTTTAAGTTTTTGGTGAAAGTTTTTGGTCAAGGTAGTTTATGATGAAGTTTAATGCCAAATTAGAGTTTTTACCCCAAATTCAAGGTCCACTGAACATAGAAAATGATAGTGCGATATGGGCATCTGTGTACTAAGGACACATTCTTGTTCACAAATTTTTTTAATGTGTGTCTTCATCAAGATTTCAGATTTTAAAGCCTTTCTGGCATCTAAAATAATGGTAATACCAAGGATCTTAATGTGTAACATTTCCATTCAATAGCAATGATAAGTTATCTACCATAAAGTTGAGAGAGAAAATAAAAAAAGATACTTTATCACTATTTTTTGTCTTCTATTACCAGACATTACAGATGTTTCCATAAGCCTTTAATGTTACAATTAAAAACATCTGATCCCAGTATGCTAAAATGATTGTTGCATGAGATCAATAGGTAGAGTATGACAGAATCTTTGATCAGGTGTCACCAGTTCATAAGAATGAAGAAGGTCAATAGCCGAAATATTTGAAAAATACTATTTTCACATCAATGTATTGATTGATTCAAACTGGAAACTTTATTAGAAAAAATCTAGAATTTGCTATACAGAATGCATGCTTTCTTTTGTATGGACACTGGTCTGTCTTTGAAGACCATAAAATAACCTGTAAATATTTTTTTGGTTTTATTGTGTTTTGGATTGCTGTCCTTTATGTAAACCCATTTTTCAGAATGAACCAATTAATTCCACATTAAGTTAAATCGTCTATCTTTTAAAAAAGATAGACAAACTATACAATTCCTGTAAGCACCTTTCATTACTGTATGATTGGTTACATCATCTAGTCTCTGATTGGTTGACATATCTTGTTATGCATTTCAGTACAATGTAATAACTATAACCTAAAGTGAGGTTGATATTTCCTGACTGGCTCATATCCTTAGTAGATAAATAGGTGTATCAGTCTTACTTGAGGTTGGTAGTACATTCCAAATACTGGGACAATCCCAATATTATTTAGAAAAAGCTTCAGTTTAAACCCTTGTGGTGACGTTCAGTTAGAATTAAAATAAGTTATAATAAGTCATATAGTGAAAGTAAGAGCTTAGATTTGGCAAAGACAATTTAACCCAACAGTATATGATATATATATATATATTGTGGGATTAATGAATCCTCCTCATAAGTCATTGATTGTAGGATATTGGCTATTTTGCAAATGCATTCATTTTTTAGCAGGGACTTCGTACAAGTCCTGTAGTGCTTTTGCTCATAGGTTTGTAGATGTAGCTGATAACTTAGATAGTGCAATAGAAAATAATCCATATTACGATCTGTTGCCATTCACTTAATAACTCTTAAAAGAGATAAGATTTTAGAAAATGCTTTGTTGAGTAAAAATGTTACTGATTTAAGAAATAAGCACAATATTTAATTACTTTTTACCATTTTATTGGTTAAACTATAATATAAATGGTTTAAGTAATAAAAAAAAATGAAAGTGCAACTAAGGGTTACCAGTAATTTTTGAGTGGAGCAAAAATATTTGACTCCAGGAATTATTTTCTCTGTCCTCTGATCACTCTATTCTTTTTTCCTACCCTCCCTCTCGTTTCTCTATCTCCTTTTCTACCCCTAATTCCTTTGCCTGGTAATTTTGCATTTGTCTTGTATTGTCACAAAAAAAGAGCTTACTCGTTTTTAAAAGAATGAGTAAAACTATATTTTTGTTTTTCATTAATCTGAAAATCCATGAGGTAACTGGTATGAATAACCAATCAGAATAAGACAGAGGTGTTTGGTATGAACAACCAATCAGAATGAGCCATACTCTAATGTCTTATTACCATGTTATCTTCATTAAATGGTTACACCCATTGGTTTTTGTAACCTATATTCGACTGAACTTACATTTAGTGTAAATTTTATAATTCTGATAGTGCTTTTTAATATTAAATGTGTATTTGACCTACCAATAGATTTTCAAAACATTTTCTGTACAGTTTATAACTAACAAATATAATATATTGCTACTTACCAATTGAAGATATGTTGACTTCCATATTATATTGTAAGAGTATGAAGGTCCACATACACTGTTATTGTCGGAGCATATTTTTTTTTCAGATGACATAACAAACTGGCATTTCAGTATATTTATTATGTAAAATTTTGTTACTTACTGTTGGTATAGTCTTTTTCATGAATCTGTTACCCAATATAATTATAGTCTATTTCATGAATCTGTTACCCAATATAATTATAGTCTATTACATATACCTATTAAAATGTATGAATTATAATGCTGTTATTTTTATTTTGCCAAGTCTATGATAGTTGGGTGAAAGGGGCATAATGTTTTCAGCCCTGCGTTCAATGCAATCTGATAAAATTCATATCTTTCATTTTGTCGAGAAATTCAATGTTCTAATCATTTAATTATTCATATCGTTTTGATTTTTATCCCTTACCTTAGTGTACTCATTTCTCAAATTAGCAAATCAATTTTCAAACTCATCTGTGGTATTGACGAGTTGAATCTTTCAAATTTGAAACGCCACTATAAAATCTGAAGAAACAAAATGTCAGTATAATGACGGACTGATGGATGGACAAAATCAAAATACCCTCCACAACTTTGTCTTATTGGATACATAAAAACATTTTGTCTGTAAATAGTTTAAAGATCTTTAAATGTTACCAGTCTTCTGTTACATAGCAATGAGATATATTTAGCTGCACATACTCCTTAATACCATTGAAGTTTCTGTAACATCATATGCCATCCATATTAATTGAGGGAAAATATAAACATAACAAAATATTACAGATTATATCTAAATTGAAATGATATGGTGGACTTCATAAAACCATCTTGAACAAGGATATTATGTTTTTAAAGAAAAAGTCACATTTCTTTTCTAAAAAGATAATCATCTAAGAATATTGTTAATCAGGCTACTTTTGCTTATTTTCCCCCGTTCAACGCGTTTCGGGGGACATAGAAATTCTGGGCGTCCATCCATCCAGTTTTGTTAGCACTCTCGTGTGTACAATTCTTGCCAGATTTTTATGAAACTTATATCATAGGTTTGTATTAGCAATGTCTTTGATGAGTTTGACAATCAGTGCCGATCTATAATTTTAAAAAGAGTTATGCCCCTTGGAAACACAATTCTTGCCAGATTTTTATGAAATTTATTACGTAGGTTTATATCATCAATGTCTTTGACAAGTTCGAAAATCAGTGCCAATCAATTATTTTTAAAAGAGTTATGTCTCTTGGAAACATTAATTATATGGAAAATTGCATTGTTAACACTCTCATGTGTACAATTCTTGCCATAATTTTATGAAATTTATATTGTAGGTTTATATCATCAATGTCTTTGATGAGTTTAAAAATCAGTGCTGATCAATTATTTTTAAAAGAGTTATGCCCCCTGGAAATATTAATTATATGGAAAATTGCATTGTTAGCGCCCTCGTGTGTACAAATCTTGCCAGAATTTTATGAAACTTAAATCATAGGTTTATATTAGCAATGTCTTTGATGAGTTTGACAATCAGTGCTGATATATAATTTTAAAAGAGTTATGCCCCTTGGAAACGTTTATTCAATGGAAAACTGCATCGTAAGTGCTCTCATTGTTAGCGTTCTCATGTGTACAATTCTTGCCAAAATTTTTGAATTTTATATCATAGGTTTATATCAGCAATGTCTTTGACACTTTCGAAAATAACAGATGATCAAATATTTTTAACAAGTTATGCCCCTTGGAAATAATAATTATAGTGGAAATTAGACTGCATTTGCCTTGAAGCCATCATTTCTCTTAAGATTTTAATAAAAAGTTATAAAGAATGAAAGAAAAAGTGCATTTTTTAAGATATTAGCCTTGTACCTTGGATAGATAAAATATGTGCAACGTGGGGTACATTGGAACTCTGTTCTATTATTTTACATAAAAGTGGTGGTTATATTTAGACATTGGTGTAGTTTGATACTTTTTAATCAAATTTCAATAACTTAATTTCATTTAACTAAAAATAAGATTTTATCAAACTTTGTATATGTCAAGGCAAAGACCATTTTGATATTAAGAATAAAGATTTTAAATCAAATAACAAATAATTTAGCAATAGAACTGAATGTACAAGATTGAAGTACACACTTGATTAATTTTCAAAAGAAGTATTGTGACAAAAGCCATCGATCAAGTAATTAACATATTGACTCTAGACATTATATATTAATAATGAACAAATTATGGATTTACTAATTTATATATACAAAGATATTATGTATATCTAATCTGTTTGTACATTGTACCTTATTATTTTTGTCTAAAATATTGTCTGACATTGTATGTGCGTAGTGGGGTAATTGATTGGAACATAATTATCTTCGTTTTCTATATAAAATGCTAGTTATAGTTTTGTAAGCATTTTTTACTTCTCCTGACATTTTATTAAAATATATACAGGCTTTTGTAAAACTAAGGATGGCAGGAATAACTCATTACACTGCACTCTCTCTAATAACCTTATTACCATTATTCTTAACCATTTGATCAGTTAGAAGAGGTGAATTAAACAACTGCAACAAACAGTGTTTTGACCAATTTGTAATGTGAATGAGTAAAGCCATTTGAAAAAGGACAATAGGTGAATGCTTTTTGGAGAAGTACAATTGGCGGAAGCCTTTTGAAAAGCACAATAGGTGAAACCCTTTTGGAAAAGCACAACAGGTGAAACCCTTTTGGAAAACACTATAGGTGAAAGCCTCTTGGAAAATTACAATAAGTTTAAGCCTTTTGGAAAAACACAATAGGTGAAAGCCTTTTGGAAATGCAGAATATGTGACCCACAACAGAGTGTATTTGCAGAAATCAGGTCAGTTGGCATGATAGTTTTTATCTTTATTTTGTCAGATTATCTTTTACCATCAAGTCATTTAAGTATTGTTCTCTGACTGAAGTAATCATTTTAATCAAACACTAAACAATAATATATAACGTTTCAACACGATGACAAATTTGGACAGCTTTTGGGAATTACCTGTTTGAAAAGTTATTATTATTATATAAGGAAGTAAACATGAACATGTAACAGAAAAAGAAAATGGCTTATTCTGCATCAGCTAAAAAGTCACAGGATATTTTATTTTGTGGATAATGTGAAACAGATACAAAAATAAAAGTAAAATGTATGGATTGTGATCTCTATATGTGCCAAAAATGTTCGGATAAGGTGTATGCCAAGTTCAAGAATGCTGATATGCACGATATTGTAGCTTTAAAGGACGTTCATTATCACTGAACTAGTATATATATTTGTTTAGGGGCCAGCTGAAGGACGCCTCCGGGTGCGGGTATTTCTCGCTGCATTGAAGACCTGTTGGTGACCTTCTGCTGTTGTCTGTTCTATGGTCGGGTTGTTGTCTCTTTGACACATTCCCCATTTCCATTCTCAATTTTATTCTCATATCGATATGACGTCTGAATTCAAACCTGTCAAATGTAAAGATCACAGAAAACAACTGTGCTGCATGTACTGCATAACATGTGAACTATTAGTTTGTCCCAAGTGCATAGCAAAAACTCATCATACACATGTAATGGTGGAAATACAAACAGTTTGTCAAATAAAAGTTGAAGAAATGAAAAAATTGCAAGATCAAGCTCACAATAAGGTAGAAAAGTTCATAGAAAAATTAAATTTGATGGCAGAAACTGAGAAATTAAAGTCAATTGATATAGAACAAAAGATATTAGAAGAGGAAAAACAAGCAAGGGAATTCCACTCGCAATGTTTAAGGCTACTCGAAGAACATAAAGAAAAGACCAAAAGACAGTTCGAAAGACTGTCAAAGAAAGAATCGGAAGTGTTGGAAGAAGAAAAGGATATTGAAATGGTCATGCACCAGGTAGAAAATATACACAAATCAAAGAACACAGAAAAAAATTTTGGGGCTGTAAGTAGTCTGCGGACAAAATTGGAGTCATTTGAGCAGATAACATGTCCAAAATCATTTCATATAAAAACACAGCAATATGTTTCTAATTACAAAATCCAGACTAATTCTAAAACAATTGAAATTGATATTCAATTTGAAATGATAGCAAAATATAAACTAGACATGTCTCATATAAGCAGCATAACGAGTGACATGAATGGCAACGTCTGGATCACAGATGGAAGTAAACAAACACAACAGCTTCAGGTAAAAGGAGGACTTAAAATAATAAAATCACTGAAAACCGACCTTGGCGACGCTGAAATTAGATGTTTGAATAAAGACGTCTATTTAGCATCTTCTGGTTTTCGTCAAATATGTTATTTGACTGCTGATGATAAACTTAAAGTTTTGAAAGATCTTTCTCCTTGTGGACCCTTTACTCTTCATGTTTCAGACAATGAAATTATTGTGGGAATGGACTGTAGCTCTGTGAAAGACCGAACAGACATACCCATCATCATGAGATTGGGATTTAATGGGAAAATCACACAATTCTACAGAAACCACGGGAGACAATTACTTACAAGAGATGTTGTACTATGCTGTACGACAATCACTGATGGAGCTATATGCTACATTGATAGTAATTTCAATGCCGGCTATGTAGGAGATGTAGTGTGTATCAGTAGAGATGGAACTATTCAATGGAAATACAATGGAAATTCCTTGATAAATTCTAATACTAGTAAACATCCTTTTACTCCTATTGAAGTTCTGAGTACAGAGTCAAATAATTTTATAGTTTCGGATAAAATTCAACATGCTCTACATATTCTTACAGCACAGGGAGAATTACTGACTATCTTTGATTTAACATTAATAGGAATAGAAGAGCCAGCGGTTATGACAATTGATTTCAATGGGACTTTATGGATACAAAACAAGGAACTGAACAAAGCAACTCTCAGTCGTGTGAAATTCTCTGGATTTTAACGGAAGGTATGGCTTTACAAACACTGATAACAAAGTTACCAGTATCATTCTAGCATGAACTTTCATAAACATACCTCTTTTTAAAGAGAGAAGCGAATGAAACTGTAAATGAATATTAAGCAGACATTGTTTTATATAAAAACTATATGTAGAAACTTGTTTTAACAGTTAATTATAAAAATGGGCTAATGGATGCTGAAAGCATTTAGATAAATAATAGTTGGGCAACAACTAGCATTCTTAAGCATATATGGCAGATGAATTCAATATATTTAATCTATTTAGCAAAACATACATTAATATGAATGACTTTAATGTTTAATAACTGTGCTAAAATTCTGTACGA